TCCAGTAATTTTTTAATTTCCTTCCTTCTACTTGCTTTAAGTTTAGTTTGGTCTTCTTTTTCTAGTTTCTTAAAGTAGAAGATTAAACTATTGATTTGAGATCTTTTTTCTTTTTAGTTTAATAGAGGAGTTATCAGCTATAAATTTCCCTCGAAGCACTGCTTTGGCTGTATTTCATAAGTTTCAGTATGTTGTGTTTTTACTTAAACTCATCTCAAATTGTTTTCTAATTTCCTTTGTGATTTCTTCCTTGATCCATTGATTACTTAGGAGTATGTTATTTAATTTTCTTATACTTATGAATTTCCCAAATTTGTTTTCTTTGTTGATTTCTAATTGTATTCTACTGTGATCAGAGAAGATACTTTGGATGATTTTAATTTTTTTAATTATTACAGTTTGTTTTATGGCCTATCACATGATCTGTTCTGGAGAATGTTCCATGTTCATTTGAAAAGAATATACAATCTGCTACTTGGGGGTTTGAAATCTCATTTACCATCTTCCCCTGGTCTCCTCTGTGGAAGCCAGTGTGAGAGTAGCAGAGGAGTTGTTATTCTAGCTTCTTTTTCTTCCCCTCCTGCATCCTGCCTTCTGGAGTGAGAGAATAAGCAAATAATGCCAAATTAACAACTTCTTCCTGATGCCCTTCCAGATTCCAAAAAACCCCAGGTATGCATGGCTTTACTATAACTAGCTGTAATTTCTCTTTCTAGACACATTATGACAATGAAATGTGTCTCTTCCCACAAGCAATGCAAAATGAGTGCTCTTGGCTCTTCCCCACTCTCAGTGGCTGCCTCAGGAACATTCCCACTCAAGAGTTGGTCAGCTTCTTTAATGAATATATTTGGTCCCAGGTCATTATATTGATGGGCTTCCCTGGTGGCTCAGATGGTAAAGAATCTGCCTACAATGCAGGAGATCCAGGTTTAATCCCTGGGTCAGGAAGATCCCCTGGAGAAGGGAATGGCAACCCACTCCAGTATTCTTGCCTGGAGAATTCCACAGAGGAGACTGGTGGGCTACAGTTCATGGGGCTGAAAAGAGTCACACATGACTGAGTGACTAATGCTTTCACTTTTTCATCATTGATGGCAAGTCAAGGGAGGAATGGTTTAGTGAGATTATAGTTTTTACCTGATAATAATAAACTCCCACCTGCCCTTCTAGCAAGGCCTACACCAGTGCCATTGAATTGGCCCTTCTACTCCTATTTTACCATATACTAGAAGTAAATAACCACATCCTCTTCTTTTTCTTTAAAATCTGTAAAAGATCCATTTGGCTATAACTAACAGAAAACCAACCCAACTCTACTTTGAGTAGTTAAGAGTTTATTTTTCTCATGTAACAAGAAGTGTAAGGACAGAATCCTGGGGCTGATGCAGTTGATCAATGCTGTCAAGGACCCAGGCTCTTTCCTTTTCCCCATAGCATCCATAGCGGGTGTACTTCATCCTTATGCCTGCTGCCTCACGGTCACAAGATGGCTGCTGCACCTTAAGATCAAGTCTTGTCCTAGGGAGAAAGAAGGGGTAGGGTGCAGACACAAAAAGCCTGCCAGCATATTACAAAGCTTTTCCAGAAGCCACACCTAGCAACTTCTGCTGATGACTCATTATTTAAGTCCACGTTACATATCACTGAAAGACTAAAAAATGGACAGAGAGAAAGGGGGAGGGGGCAGTAGCCAGGAAACCAACAGTGGCTGCCATACCACACCTTCCTTCATAGCTTTAGTAATTAGAAGTGGGGAGGATGACTTTAATCAGGCTGAACTTAGAGTAGAGCATGCCGTTCAATTCTCCCCCTGTCACACCTATTCTAATAAGAATCAACCTCCACTTCCTAAAATCTAAGCTCCCTGGCACCTTACATAGCAAAGTCCCTAACCACAACATGAATATAGAAATTTTTTCACCCACCTTCTGGTAAATCCAGCATCCAATTCATGCTCCTTTCTTTTGAATTAGCAAAAACACATTCTAAAGTACTCAGCAGTCATCTAATCATTCTAATCCCAAAGAAGGGCAATGCTAAAGAATGTTCAAACTACCATACAGTTTTTCTCATTTCATATGCTAGCAAGGTTATGCTCAAGCTAGGCTTCAACAGTATGTGAACTGAGAACTTCCAGATGTACAAGCTGGGTTTCAAAGAGGCAGAGGAACCAGAGATCAAATTGTCAACACCTGTTGGATCACAGAAAAAGCAAAAGAATTCCAGAAAAACATCTGCTTCATTGACTATGCTAAAGCCTTTGACTGTGTGGATCACAACAAACTATGAGAAATTCTTCAAGAGATGGGAATACCAGACCCCTTACTTGTCTCCTGAGAAGCCTGTATGAGGTTCAAGAAACAACAAGTAGACCCTTACATGGAACAACGGACTGGTTCAGAATTGGGAAAGGAGTACAAGGCTGTATATTGTCACTCTGCTTATTTAACTTCTATGCAGAGTACATCATAAGCTAGAATCAAGATTGCTGGGAGAAATATCAACAACCTCAGATATGCAGATGATACCAACCTAATAGCAGAAAGTGAAGAGGAACTACAGAGCCTCTTGATGAGGGTGCAACAGGAGAGTGTAAAGGCTGGCTTGAAACTCAACATTCAAAAAACAAAGATCATGGTATCTGGTCCCTTCACTTCATGGCAAACAGAAGGGGAAAAAGTGAAAGCAGTGGCAGATTTTCTTTTCTTGGGCAAAATTACTGTGGATGGTGACTGCAGCTGTGAAATTAAAAGAGGCCTGCTCCTTGGAAGAAAAGTGATGACAAACCTAGACAGCACCTTAAAAAGGAAAGACATCACCTCACCAACAAAGGTCTGTATAGTCAAAGCTATGGTTTTTTCATTTGTCATGTACAGATGTGAGAGTTGGTCCATAAAGAAGGCTGAGCACCAGAGAATTGACGCTTTTGAATGATGGTGCTGGAGAAGACTGTTAAGAGTCCCTTGGACTGCAAGGAGATCAACCCTGAATATTCATCGGAAAGACTGTTGCTGAAGCTGAAGCTCCAATACTTTGGCCACCTGATGGGAAAAGCCGACTCACTGGGAAAGTCCCTGATGCTGGGAAAGACTGAAGACAAAAGGAGAAGGGGGCGACAGAGGAAGAGATGGTTAGATAGCATCACCAACTAAATGGACATGAACTTGAGCCAACTCCAGGAGACAGCAGAGGACAGAGGAACCTGGCATGCTGCAGCCCACGGAGTCACAAAGTCAGACAGGACTTAGTGACTGCACAACAGCAACCCAGTCATTAAACACTGTTCAATTTGAGGACCCCAAAGGTTTTCTGAGACACCCCATGCCACTGCCTTTTCTTAACCTCAGACACCTGGTTTGTCAATTAACTATTTCCATCACAGGTACAATGCCTGTAGGAACAAGTCCACCCATGACCTGGGTAACATGTTCAAGCTTGGTTCCAGGACTTCAAATAATCACTGTCCAGAAAGAGGTTAGAAATTCAGAGTCAAAATAGGAGCCTTAAAGTTCAATTTCCCTACCTCTCACTTTCTCAGAATGTTCTCGGGAAATGCAGATAAATTAATATCTTTACCATTCTAATAAGGGTATATTTGCCTGTCTTCTTCCAGAGCCTCTGTCAATCTCTCTGTAAATTAGTCCAGAAAATTTTAAAGCACCCTGTGAAATCCTTTCAAATCAATCTTTTCCCAGGCCTCTGATAGTTCTCACATCAGGAGTTACTTTTGAGAGATCTCATGTATTTCTACATATCACTTCTCTAACATAATCTTAGCCATTGTCTCAAAAATCAATGGACTCAAATTCTAGGGGTCATAATTTTTTTGTGTGCTGCATTCAGATTTTCTTAGTAATCCCAGGATATAATGGTTGTGAATTTGTCTCATAACCCTGAGGTGTAAGAAATGTCACACTGCCATAGTTTTAGCCCCCAGAGACTTGCCACAGTAGCAAGATATTTTATTCTCCAAGGAGTCTTAGAAAGGTAACCAATTGCTCCAGTTTGCCCAAGGCTGAAATGTCTTCTGGGACACAGGACTTTCAGTGCTAAAGATGGACAAACTGAAAAGTTGGTCATCCTAAATCTTGGACAAACATTAGTTTACAAACCTGCTTACTATATTATAAGCTCTAAGGAGACAAGGAACATGTCTAATGAATTTCTGTATACCCAAGCTTAGTGCTTGGGACATAATGGGCATTCAACAAATTCTTAATAAACTAATCGACAAACAAATACATGAACTAGCATGAAAAAAAAGATTAAAGTAATGATAATAATCCAAACCCTGAGCCACATCAGAAGTTACTTGAAGGATTTCCCTGGTGGTTCAGTGGCTAAGACTCCACATTCCCAAAGCAGGGGGCCCAGGTTCAATCCCTGACCAGGGAACTAGTCCCACATGCTGCAACTAAAAAGCCTGCATGCTGCACCAATATCTAAGATCCTGCATGCTGCAACTAAGACCTGGCGCAGTCAAATAAATAAATACTTTTTTTAAAAAAGAATTGAGAGTCTAGTAATAAGCCCTCTTTTTACTTGCGCCAAGTAAAATGGAGTGCCCTGCAATTTCCTAATATCCCTTCCAGCAAACATCCTTTCCAGGCTTAAAAAGGCCATGTCCTTGGACCAGGGGCAAATTCTCCCCATGCACACATATACTGTGAGTTCTATATCGTTTATTTCCAATTTGACGGACTTGAGAAGCATCAGGTAGACTTTCCAGACATTTTGGATCTGTTCTTCAGGAACACAGTGCATCTTCAGATAATAAGCAAAATGTTTAGAAACCATGAACTTCTGCAGGCACCTACCACCTGCCTGGCTTACCAGACGCCCTCAGAGTTCTGTGCTGCACAAAATGATGGCGCTGCTTTAAAGTGTCTAGAACTAGTTGAGGGGAGGGAGAGTGAACAGGCCAGCGATTGGGACTAATCTTCCAAACATGTCAAAGACTGAAGATGAGCATACGTTTTTGTATGTCTTTGTTTCAGAAAAGAGAATGGCTGCTATTGGCCAAAGGGGAGCCCCTGAACCGAGAAGACAAACTGAGAGAGCCCACTAGCACCTTCTACGTGATCCTGCCGTCTCCCTCTCCCACTCTGCTGGTGAAGGCAGTGGCCACTCGGGAACTGATGCTACCCAGCCCTTTCCCCCTGCTACCTGAGGACATGCCTGCTGACAGCCTTAAGACTGTGGAGGCGAGTGAGCCCAGATCTCATGGGATAGAGGGGAGGGAAGAGAATGGAGTTCAAGAAAGGGATGAGGGAAATGAATCAGCCCCAGAAGGAAAGGACCAGGGAGCAGAGGGAGAAGTGGTTCCAAGAGTATGGTAAGAGGAGCAGAGAAAGCAAGGAACTGAGGCAAGACGAAAGAAAGCACACATCTGCGTGATGGTGTGTTCTCATGGGTCCTTCTCTGCAATCTCTGAATGCATGTGTGTGCCTGTTTGTACACGTCTATCTCTGAGAGAGGGAGGAAAAGGCAGCCGATATAGGCGCTGAGAATAGGAAGAGCTTTAAAATGAGACTGTGATGCAAAGGAGGGAACAGCTCTAAAGGCCATTTTTCTCCTCCTCCTCATCATCCAGATTTGGATTCTGGATTTCCTCTGCTGGCCTCACCAGTTGGGCGGGGGGCGGGCAGCTCACAGCACAGAGAACAGTTACCACACCCTTGCTGCTAAATTCCTGGCTTACGTGCCGAGAGGACAGAGCCTGGGATTGTGCTCTTGGCTTGGCAGCCACAGGGATGCGAGAGAGGTGGGCACGAGTGGCCGTGGCTCACTCAGCGTCTCACTTCAGGGCCAGTTGTTTCCTGGCACAGGATGTTGTGGCCGGAAAACCTGACTGCTCAGGAATGCGCTGCTCGCGTGTCCTCTGGTTGTGCTCGCCTCACAGGCGGAGAACTCAGTGTACTTGCTTTGCAGACTGAGCACCTCAGCCCCCAACTCACCCTCCCTCACAGCCTCACACACTGGATCCCTTGTAACCCTCATGGCACTCTGGCCCCTCTCAGAATCCTGTGACATGGTTCTTGGAGCCAGAATGTTCAGTGTCCCTAACCATTCAGTTGCTGCTACTTCTTGTACCCTTGCCTGACCCTTCACAAGCACTGAGACCTGGGGGCCAGAACACCCAAAAGGACACGCATCTATTTCACACCCTTCAGTGAAGCCCTGGGCCATCACGCCTTCTCAGCTTCTCACACTCAGGACTCTGCCTGACATCTTGGGCTCTGTGACCTCGCGTTTTTAGTGAGGCGCCCCTTCTCTCTTCTTCAGAGCATGCTTGATGACCTGGAACTAGAATCCACCTACAACCCCTTGCAAGTTTGGAGCCACCTGTACTCACACCTGAGCAGCACCTCTGCCAACCCTCACAGCCGGTTCCACCCAAGCTCCAAGAGCCGAGCTGTGAGAAAGGTACTTCCCTCCTTCCCCTTTATGCCCAGAATGCCAAAGTCCTCTCCCCCTGTCCCCCATCCAAGGGAGATCCTCCCTGATCTCCTCTGGAAAAGAAGCGTTTCGCCCTAGACAAAGAACATTACAACCCCTACGCAGTACTGGGACTTTTTTTTGCTTGGGCATTTACATAAAATATTTAGTTATCTTAATTGCGGTGTTTGGGTAATTCAGTAGTCATTTAACAGATCACTGTCCCACTAAGCAAACGGACTGCACTGTAACCACAACCACGGCCTCTGTTGAAAGAAGGTGGCATAAGAAATGCCCAAGGGAAGGGAAATTAGTATTTACCAAGCAACAGTAATTTGCCAGGTTTGATGACGTGTACTCTCACATATATTTTTCTCATTTAATCCTCACAGCATCCCTACAAGGTAAGTGCTATGCTCATTTTACAGATGAGGAAAGGGAGACTGACCAAGCTTAGAAGCTTAGAGACATGGCCCCAGTGACAAGAGTTTTGAGAGAAGAGTAATGGGCGGGGGGTGGATTTATTTTTATGAAATCCATGTTCTATAGTATATGGGCTTCCTTTTGTGCTCTTATAAATCTTTTCCTTGTTTCTCAGTAACAAAGCCTGTAGAAAAAAACCTTTGTCTTACCTGAAGTTACAAGAGAAAGAGGTTTCCAAACTACAGTCAGTCTAGACATGGGGATAGAACCCACCGTGAGTTAGCTGGTAGGCAAGCAAACAGAGGAGGACACTCAGCCAGGAGACAGGCGCTGTGGAGGCGAGAGCCCGGGGACTCCACTGCTCTGGGCCTTGAGGCTGTCACTCACGCGACCCAAGGAGTTAGGACTGGAGACCCGGCAGGGAATGGAATAGGAAATCAGGACTTGTCTAGTCTTCTTGCTTTCTTTGCAGGCTGAGCCTTTGCAAATAAATCGAGTGCGAGCCACAGTGGCCCCTCTGCCTATGACTCCAGCCCCTGGCAGAGCCTCCAAGATGCCAGCAGCCAGCAAAGCTTCCTCAGAAGTCTTCTTCCAGCCTTCTGTGGAAGAGGAGGAAGAGGCAGATGAGGAGCATCCCTCAGGGCCCTAAGTCTCTGGCGCCGTAGCCCAACTGCCCTGCTAAAGCGCGCCCATGCCAAGGCTCCAGATCTGCCCCACAGTGGCTTTCTGTGGCGACTTGCCTTCTCTCCACCTGACCCTCTGTGAGCTCCAGGCGACTGGGAAACAGAGCCTCCCCCTCCTCCGCCTTCAGTGCTTTCACCACCCCACTCCACAGGCCATGAGGAGACACACCTGACCCTCTTCTTTCTCCAAGAAGGGACTTATTTTTCCTTTGGATCATTTGATACTGTTAACACAAATGAAGAATAAATACCCAATGGGTCTCCACCATTGTTAGGAGCATTCCCAGAACCACATTTCTCCTTGTAGTTCTGGGTAAGCAGGTGGATGATGTCAGGTCACCTTCAGGAAACTGGACCTCAGGAGAGAAGGATGAGGTTTTCAGAGCTCATGAAAAACAAGTAGGAGTGAAATCTAAGCTTCATTTCAAAGCCTGTGCCCCTCCCACCACACCCATCAACACTGCAATTCCCGTCAGCCTTCAAACAGAAAAGTGGCTGGTGCTTGCTACCTACACGCAAAGTGTGTGGGTGAGAGAGAGAGAGAGAGAGACAAGGGGAGGGGGGCATCCTAGAGCTGAGAACAGGGGAGAGGGTGGTATGAAAAAGGCCTGTTCCTTCCCTGTTCCCCTTTCCTCACACCTGCCCAGCAGCCTCATCCATCCACAGAATAACTACCATTTGTAAAATGCTTATTCTGCACTTCAAATCAATTAAGTACTTGAGAAATTTAACTCCTTCCATACAAACAACTCTCTGAGGTTGTGCCTATAATTAAGCTTTCCCATTTTACGTAAGAGCAACAGGGGAAACTGAGGGTTACCGAAGTTATACCCAGGGTCCCACCCACCCCAGGTGGGCCTAACTGGACCTTTCAGACTCTGAATGATCACCCCATCCCTGGGGCCCTCTCCTCCTTCAGTGGCCCCCAACACCTTTCTGGTTCTCCTAATCCCATGTCTACCCAGCACATCTTGCCACTCGGTCCCCTTTATGACTGTTCACAGACAAAGACCTCTTAAATCCAAACTGACTTTAATGAGAATAAAACTTACCCCCCCCAAAATTATATATATATATGTATATATTTGGTAAAGAACAATGAAGGGGGAGGGGTCCAGACACAGCTCAGTGTCCCCCTTTACTTCCATACAAGCCTCTCAAACCACACCGCCTCTGACCAAATATCCTTTTCTACAGTTCTGCTCCGGCAGCTATCCCTTCCTTTGGTGGGGATGACTTAGAGGTGCTGGCCTCCCCTAGCCCCCATCCCTGAGCCCCTTTGTGACTCTGTCCCACTTCCATGACTTCTTGGGACAGATCATCCTTGCCTGGACCCCCCTTGCACCCCGCTCTCTGCACACAGGCCCCCTGGTTCGTGCTGGCTCTAACAGGTTCCTTTGATCCCGCGCCCCTTCCCCATGGTCCTATCAGCAACCTCAGCTTCGCCCTACTTCTCACGTGGAACCCTCTGACTTGGCCCCAGTCCTGTCAGTCCCTACTCCAGGAAGCCCACAGTCCCAGCTCCCCGAGGCCCCGCTTTTCTGGACCTGGCTGTACAGGGCAGTGTCTGAGCTATGGCCTTGGCTGCCACCACCAGTTGCAGCACCAGATTCAGGTAAGGCCCGGCCCTGGGGCTTGGGAGCTGGGAAGGGCTTTGTGCTCCGAGGGGGTGGCACAGCATAGTCATCAGTGGCAGGGTTGTAGGGGAGCTCATAGCCCTCCTCCTTCACCCGAGCCTGGCACCACCATGCATCCTTGGGCTCCTGAGGCAGATCATAAAGCCCCCGGAGAGTGGCTGGGGCCAGGCCCTCAGGTTCATCATAAATGGGGTCTTCTTTAGGGTCTGTCAACTTGGCCTTTATCAGCTTTTGCTGCACATGCTCACACAAGTCCCAGTAGAGAGCTTTCTTTAACTGTGTCCCCTCGCCTGTGTGCGCAGGGGTGCTGTCCACGGGGTCTGAGTATAGGGAATCTTGGCCCAGGCCTGGAGGAACGCGCAGGGAGTCTAAGGGTTCCGCATACAGGGCTGGAGGGCTGCCTGGGAGCTCCAGGGGGGCCGCGGGGGAAGCCAGCTTCCCGTCTGCCACTTCTCCTTCATGGGAATCAGCTCTGAGAACATCCTGCCCCTGGCCAGCCTTCCCCTGAGTCTTCTGTCGGTGGATAGCAGTCTCGACTGCCTGAAAGATGTCATTTCCCTGTGCCGTGTGAAAGGTGAAGGTTCCAGGGCCGGAGGGACAGCGGCGGCCAGCCTCAAAAGAGAACATGACCTGAAGAGGATGTAGAGGGAAGCATGTTACCAGGAGCCATCAGAGGAGGTGAGTCACAGGACTAGAACTAGCTAGGGGACCTACAAAGAAGAGAGCACTGGAAAGGGGGGTGGGTCATGGTCTAGGCAAGAGAAAGTTATCTAGAGTGCAGTCTCCCACCTTCCTGTCCACCCCTCCCACAGGCGCCCAGCCCAGGGAGCCAGTCCTGTCTTGACAGCACCGTACCTTGTCACGGCCATAGCGACGCAACAGAGTGTAGGGCCAGGAAAGGAGTGGCTCCAATATCTGACTCTGGGCCCCCGCGGCCAGAAGAGTCAGCTTGTCCGCCTCCACTCTCAGCACGTAGGAGCCGTGCAGGCCACAGCGCTCAGCGGCCTCAGTCTTCTGCACCGTCACCCAGAACTGGGATCCTGGAAGGAATACACAATTAGACTGGGACCTGGCCAGGACTGGGGTGGGGGAAGAGAGCAGACTGTATACACACACACACACACACACACACACACACACACACACTTGAAAGCCAGCTCTCAGGCTATTCCTACTTCCCCTCCTAGGACACCCTTTCTTTCCACCCCTTCCCTGCTGGGGTTTTTCAGGCCATCTACCTTCCCAGGAGGGGCTATACAGCGAGTTCTCCAGCATCTCCAGGGCAGAAAGCTTGGGTGGGTTCTCGGCAGGTGCCAGGGCCCAGCTGCCTTTCTGGGGTAAAGAGAAGGAGCATGAAGGAGGCTGTGATTCCCTCACCGCGATTCCCAGGGTCTGAGCCAGCCCAGTTCCTCTGCCGCTGTAACTGCTCCCACCCCGCCTCCCCTCCTGGGCCCTGTGGCGCCCCAGGCCCCTCACCGGAAAGGCGTTTTGGCACAGCGTTTGCACCCAGGCTGCACTGGACGGCGCGTCGGCCGCCAGCAAGTGGGATCGCTGTGCGGTGTCCAGGCGAAAAGCTGCGGCGCCAGGCTCAGGGGGGCTCTCCACCGCCACGGGGGCCACGCTCACACACTCTGCCAGCCGGATCACCTTGCAGTCCAGGCGGCGCGAGCTCCCTCGGCCACCTCCAGAGCTCGACCCCTTGTGGTCAAAGAACTCGAGCCGCGCGACACCGTGGGGACTGGCCGGGTAGAGAACAGCCCAGGTCTTCCTCCATCTCTGGGGAAAGAGCCGAGAGACGCTGGGGAGGGAGCGGACAAGCACCGGCTGCCCGGCCCCGACGGGGGAAGGAAAGACCCGAGCGGGCCGATTTCAAGACTAAGGCTTCCCGACCGCTGGCGAAGTTTCCCCAAGAGGATGCCCCTCTGTTTCCTCAGGGCTAGAGAGGCATACCCGGAGGCCGGCGGACGCTTCTCCGAAGAATGTGCAAAGCATTTTAGAGGGAACGTCACAGGGCTCTCCGGTCCCGGCGCCGCTCCCCTACCAGCCGCGCGCCCCCTCCCTCCGTTTGGGCTCAATCGCCCACCCCTAGCTCTGATGGGGTTCGGCAACCCCTGCCCACACTACCTTGGTCCCGAAACGCTGACTCTGCAAAAACAGCGGCCCTTCCATCACGGCCCCGTCCATGGCCCCCGGCGGTTCCTTCCGCGCTTCCTGGCCCGGCGGGCCCGGAGGCGGGGCGGGGCGGGGCGGGGCGGGGTTCGCGGGAGGCGTTCCCACCCCTCCCCAACCTCCGCGAACCGAGAAAGGGGAGGAAGATCGGCCAGAGGAAGGGGAAGGGGTACCACCTCCAGACCCCGCACCCCCAGCCCTAGGTCTCGCACTAGTGGCTTCTCCGAGAGAAACCCTGTGACTTCGGTCAGAGCACTCTGGCTCTTAGGCTTGGGGGCTGCGTACAACGTCAGATGCTCAACGTGACATCAGAGTGAAGGCCATGACATCATCTTGAAAATGCCTACGGGCGCCCTGGGGCATTGGAGGGACTTTCTGAGCCTTCGAGGCTTCAGTTCCCCAGACCTGACCCGACCCCTGCTCCGCGGGAGATGGGCTATTTACAGTCCGCAGAGCCGGGGACGTGGGGGAAGGGCTGGGGCCGGGGACTGAAGACTTCCCGGAGCTCGGAGCCGAGTCGCCGCACGGGGCGCAGCCCGGGGTAATCTGCGGCCCCGGGGCCTCCTGTGTGTCCAGCTCTCTGACCGCAGCTGCCCGGCACCCAACCCGCGGGAAAAAAGAGCTTTATTAAACAGGCTGGGAGGGGCGAGGAGTGGGGCGGGAGGGAGATTGAGCGGCGGCAGCGGCCCGCTCCAAAGAGGAGGGGAGAAGAGGAGGGAACTGGCCTGGGAGGGATCCTGGGAGAAGGCGGAATGTGGGAGGGCTCAAGGGGGACGTGGGAGGAACGAGGCGCGGGTGGGGAGGGGGGGGCGGGGGAGAAAGAGGGGCAGTCTCCCAAGTACTTTTTTTTGGAAGTCCTAGGATTGATCTACAGGACCAAGACTCTTCTCCCAGCCGCTAGGGTCCCCGTTCAGCCAAAGGTAGGGGGAGTCACGCTCCCGGTGGGAGGAAGGAGAGCTGTAGATGGAGAGGATGGTGGAGGGACCTGGGGAAAAGGGTGATGAAGGATAGAATCAAAGGAAAGCCAAGCTACTTAGAGTTGTATAGTCAAAGAAGACACAAGAAGAGTGGAGAAAGGAAGCAGATACTGGGGAGTGGGGGCTACAGGGTGTTCCACATAGGGCATCCGAAGTGCCCGAAGGCTAGGGGCTCCTCTGTGAGGCCCTCTCCCTGGGCCCCCAAGCCAAAATGTCCCCAAACAAAGCTTCCCTGTTGTGTTGTTTGTCTGAGTTGGGGGAAGCATGGGGGGTGGGGGGTAGGGGGAGCTCGCTGTAAAAGAGCTGTTCTCCCGACAGAGGGAAGGCCTTGGCTGAGAAGCCGACTAGTGCTCTTGCCTCCTGTTGCCCCGGGAAAGAGATGGCTGTGTTGGCAGGAGGCTTGGACAACCCCACCCACCCCACCCCCACCTTGAGGCCTGGCCCTTCTGGGCCCCTTGACCCTGCAGGGCATGTAGGATGTGTACCAAGTTCTCCAATGCATTCTGGTTTTCTGCCTTTTCTACCTGGAATCTGCCCAGAAAGGACTCTCAGCTTGATTCCCATTTAGGGGACCTGAGATCTGAGGGTGCCCTAAACCCCTTCTTGCCTGCCTCTTTCCACAATCAGTAACTATCTGTCCTCTCTCTGACTGGCTGAACAGGATCATCTGGGTCCCTCCTGTCTCTGCCCCTTGGCTTTTGTCAGTCCCTCTCCTCCTTTTTGCCTTTTCTTACTGTTCGTGGGGTTCTCAAGGCAAGAATACTGAGTTTCAGCAAGCTCCGGGAGTTGGTGATGGATAGGAAAGCCTGGCGAGCTGCAGTCTGTGGGATCGCAAAGACTGAGCGACTGAACTGAACTGAACTCCTTACTCATTGCCTGCCTTTCTCAGTTGCTCCCCAATTCTGTGTGCCAGACTCTCTCCTGATCCCCTTCTGTCCATTTTTCAACACACTCTCTCTCTCTCCACTGTGTTTGGTCCCCTTTTATTCTCACAGTTTCCCTTCCCCTCACATCCTGTCTGTCTGGGTCTCCCTGTCTGTGTCTCCTGCTCAGTCTCAACCTATTTATCTTGATGGGCCTCTGATCTTGGTCTCTAATCTCTGTCTTTTGATCACTGGGTCTCCTTGACCCGTGAGTCGGGATATAGAGGTGATGATAGCAGAACCAGGGAAAGGATATTATGAGACATAACAACTAATAGTGAGCATTTATTCTTTACAGAAGGGAGGGAGAGCCTTCTCTCTCTCTCTCTCTCTCTCTCTCTCTCTTTCTCTCTCTCTCCAATCTGGGTGTCTCAGTCTGTGCCTCTGTTACTCTGTATTTATCTTCTTATTTAGTGTGTATTTCCTTCTGTCTCTCTTAGCCCCTGGGTCCGTCCCTTTCTGTCCACTGGCTCTCTGTCTCTGGTCTTGACTGGTGTCTCTTCCTCCCATGACCTCTCTCTCAGACCTGGGCTTCTCAATTTCAGCTTCTCTCTCTCTGGGGCGCCCAGGCCTTCCCTGCCATGCAACCTGTCGGTGTTTGGTGGTGGAGCCTGTGGGGGCTGCTGCTGCGCCTGCTCTGCAGTCCGTGCCTGGGCTCTCCAACCCCATCCACGGCACCTGAGAAGAGGGCCGGGAGCCAGGGGCTGCGGTTTCGGCTGGCTGGTTTCCCCAGGAAGCCATCCGAGGGCCGCGTGGAGATACAGCGGGCTGGTGAATGGGGCACCATCTGCGATGATGACTTCACGCTGCAGGCTGCTCATGTCCTATGCCGGGAGCTGGGCTTCACAGAGGCCACAGGCTGGACCCACAGTGCCAAATATGGCCCTGGAACAGGTGAGCAGTGCTTCAGGCACAGCCTAGGTATTGCCAAAGTACAGCCTAAATGTAGGGAGAGGGGACAGCCATGGGGACACAGAACACCAAGAACAGCCAGTGTCAAGTACACCCACAGAGGATAAACCAGCCAACACATAGCTGTGTGATCAATGCCCTCTCTGAGCCTCAGATGCCCCTATGTGCAAAATGACTAGATGATCTGCAAGTTACTTTCTCCTGCAAAAGTATGATTCTACAGAGCCACATGCAAAGACAGCCCTGACACAGATGAGCCCTGTATGATTAAAGTACAGCTGGTTTCATGGGAAGCTGAGAGCAGGTAAATGATGTCTGGATGTCCCAAAGACAAAAGTGATCACATATACTGCAGCCAAAAAGATCAGATTATAGTTTAGAGCTGAAACCGACAAGCTGGGCTTCCAAAGACAAGTATGAATTTTAGGATAAGTATGATGTGGTTAGTAGGGACTTAGGAGCAATTCTGAGATCTGGGGGCACTTGCATTGTATAAACTCACAGTGGGATTGATAGAGCTGGTGCAATCTGCAGTTAACCCCCAATTCCCACTGGTTAGACCACATCTGAAATAAAGTATCACTTTAGATGCCACGTTTTCAAACAGACAGTAGAAAATGGAAGTACTGGGCATTTCCTGGTGGTCTAGTAGTTAGGACTTTGCGCTTTCACTCCCGAGGACACAGGTTTAATCCCTGAATAGGGAACTTAGGTTCCTGGAAATGGACGTACTTTCAGAGGAGAGCTGCCAGATGTAAAAGATTGGAAGCCACGTTTCAAGGAGGAATAGCTGAAGAAACCAGGGATATATGATATGAAATGAAAAAGCTTTGGATAATAATTACATGATGGTTGAATTCAAACATGAAGACAGTCATTTGACTGAGGGATTTTTCTGGGTGGCATCAAAGGACTGAACCAGACATGGAGTAGAGGAAAGTAATAAATTCAAGAATCTCAATAGTTTGTGATGGTTCCAACAGCGTAATGGGGTGAGAGGTAGGTATCCCAGCAGAAGCTGGGTAAGTCCTGTCAGGATATGCATGAGGGTTCCCTGCATGTGGCCCTTTGAGGGGCCACCAGTTCTGAGAGAAAGTCAGTGATACTCATTTCAGTTTGGCCCAGGTCAAGAGAAGAACACGGGGCAACATGGCAGCACAGAGCAGTCACATGGGAGAATGTAAGGCTGAGGTGAAAGGATCTAGTCTCACAAATGGCTTAAATCCCTAAGCCCTCAGGCATTGGCTGTATGGTCCTAGGCAAGTTACTTCACTTCCCTGAACTTCAATTTCTTTATACAAGATGGTGATAATATCTAATGGAAGCTCTGTTCTAAGAATGATCACATATGTACATACCTTGGCAGAGTGCCTCACGCACACGAGGTGGCTGTCATTGAAAGGGTAAGGACTGATTAGAACTTCAGTGTTGACTCTTGGGTTTTTTTATTCACCCTACCAAATTCTTGGGTATCCCCAGAACACTATCAACCCTCCATCAATCCCATGCTCCCTTTCCTATTCCTTTCCAGGGTCCCCTGTCCCTTCCCTACTCATTCTCTTGCCAGGTGTGAGGCTTCCATGCTCACTCTCACCAACATCCCCATACTACCTCTCCAAGCCTCTCTACCCGCTTATCTCCCCTCCCACACAGGCCGCATCTGGCTGGACAACCTGAGCTGCAGTGGGACTGAGCGGAGTGTGACTGAATGTGCCTCCCGGGGTTGGGGGAACAGTGACTGTACCCACGATGAGGATGCTGGGGTCATCTGCAAGGACGAGCGCCTCCCTGGCTTCTCAGATTCCAATGTCATTGAGGTCTGTAGTTCATAAACACACACACACACATACGTACATACCACCCAGGACGGCAAGACAGAAAGGGTTGTGGGGTGGTTATATGTGGAGATACTAGAATGGAGAGGATCCCATGTGCCCAATGGGATAATTGGGGTTGGTGGGAAACTGGGGAGGTGGCAAAACGATAGAGCTCTGAGACACTATATAGTCCAGGTTTACTTTAGCGCTAGCATTCAAGTTACTAAGCCTGGCATGAATCTCTCCGACTTCATCCCCGGTCCCCAGGGCACCTGTGCTCTCTCTCAGCTCAGATATTCCTGAGGGAACCTTTCACCCTTACTTTCTCCTACTTCTTCAGTTTGCTACTTCCTCTGTGAAGTGTCCCCTCAGGCTCCAAGCAGAGTTAGCTGCTCCTTCCCCAGCTTCTTCTGGACCCTTTCTCAGAGCACAGCAGGTCCTTACACTCTGGCGGCTGCAGGAAAGTCAACACACCCACACACCTCAGTCGGTACCTCACAGAGAGCAGGCCTGCCTCTCGGCCCCGTCTCGCCATTGGGGTCACAGCAAGTGCACTCGACCAGAGTTTCCTAAGAGTGGCCGGACATGTGAAAGGTGCCACTGGGATTCCTTCCTCTGCTTGTGGTCCCACCCCCAGGTAGAGCATCACCTGCAAGTGGAGGAGGTGCGACTTCGGCCAGCCGTTGGAAGGGGCAGCCGGCCCCTGCCCGTGACTGAGGGACTGGTCGAAGTCAGGCTTCCGGATGGCTGGTCGCAAGTGTGTGACAAAGGCTGGACTGCGCACAACAGCCACGTGATCTGCGGGATGCTGGGCTTCCCGAGCGAAAAGCGGGTCAACGTGGCCTTCTACAGGTGAAGGGACGTGGGCGCTGGTGCAGCGGACTGGAGTTGAGGGGCGCTTGTTAAGGAGTGGTGTTGAGGGGCCTCCGAAGGGGTTGGTTCACCTGGAGAGCCGGGGGAAATGTGGAGCCCTCTGTGAAACTAGAGAGCTGAAAAATCTCGGATCATGAAGCGGTCCCCGAGGCGGATCTGCTGCGGGGACCAGCGAAGCTCTGGCCCCAGTGGCCAGAACCGGGGCGGGGCGAGCGGCGGCGGTGGCGTCGGGGCCCGAGAGGCCGTCGGTCGACAGGTGGCGTCTCCGCGGCCGGGGGCGAGAGCTGGGCCTCGCGAGGCCACGCCCAGAGGCCCGGGAGCCCGCGGGTCCGAGTCGGAGGGTGGGGGTAGCGACCACGCCCCGCCGAGGCAGCACCCGGGCGGGGCCAGACGCCGGGAGTCTGACGGCGACAGGCCCGGGGCTCCCGCGGGGCGGCGGTCCCATCCTGACCGCCAATCCCTGAAGGCCGGAGGGCGCCGGAAGAGGCCGGGGCCCTTCCCTGGGTCCCGGCGGCCCAGTAGGCGTCTGTGAGCGCGAGAGCACTCAGGACTGCTAAGCTAGTTTTCCAGAATATCCTTCAGCCCTGGAGGCCGGCCCTCTCCACCTGCCCTGGAGCCCCGGTGTACGCGCCGGCTTCCGGGGAATGTATCACACTGGGGACCGGCTCTTTGCTTACTGCGTCTCGCTTCCCTGGAGCACGTAGTTTGGCCGTTTTGAGAAATTTGGAAATCTCTTTGTAATTTAAATGATTATTTTCTTCAGCTCTTCCTTAGACCAGTTTTGCAGGAAGAGCTCTTAACATCTGGGTGACCTTCTGCTGGGCACGCTACTTCAGATGTGGAGCTGATCGGGGCAGGGTACAGCATAAAAGCTCCTTTTTAATGAAAGCGTATCTAGATTTTGCACTGCCTTTCCATTGAGGCAGCATCCCACTGCTCATATTGACCTTGTAATCACCTAAATAGGTCTTCCCTCCGCCTTGATACTGATAGAGCAGCCTATTTGAACCTAAATCTGTTGAGTTTACCCTATGAAATGTTTGATACATGATCTCATGTCTGGTACATCATTTAAAAACCATAATGATCCCATGAGATTATCTTGAATCTTGACATTTTTTTGTGCTTATCATCCCTCCCTGCCCCCTCTGTTCAATAGATATGATAGCTATGCCTCCTGACTTCATCAAAGTGACTGTTAAATTTGTTGAAATCTTTAAAACCAAAGTCTAACTTTTCTTATGAATCCTCCAGATTTACATCAAACCTTTAATCATTAGTTGTGAAATGTTTTTTCAACAGTTGAGACAAACTGAACACTACAGTGATACAGCCAACATTTCATCATCTTATCTATAATGAAATTATAGTCTTTTGCTAAAATCCCGATATACTGTGTTCACAGCCATTCTGCAATTTTAGTAATCTTAAAGGAAATCATGGTGGTTTGATTGAGCTGACTTTTACTGAAATCCATTTAGATTTCTAAGGATCACCATATTTTTTCCTCAATGCTCACAAACTTTCTATTTAATGACTATCCAAGAACATAAATTATCTGTAAATTGAGGAATCCTTTTCCTCCTTTTTGAAAGTTAGTACATTATCCAGCCTCCAGTCATTTCCATACTTGCTGAAATTTTTTTTGCCTTGGCTCTGAGACACATCTGAAAATTCTTGAGGCACCAAGGAATATACTTTTCCTGGTATAGCAACTCATATACAGTTTAAAACATCTGTGTGCTGTGCTCCTCTGCTATTATCTACCTTGGGCCTATATTTCCCTGTGCTTGTTCTTCACCTTTTCAAATCCAAACTCCAGGTTCTGAAAGATTAGTGCAACTTAAATGGCAGGCATTTCAGATGAAGAGGATAGCATGAACAAAGGTATAGAGAATAAACATTTATTGAGTGCCTATTGTATGCCAGGGACTGTTGTAGACACTAGGAATTCAACAATGAACAACAACCAAAAAAAAAAAAAAACACCCAAAAATCCTTGATCTCATGAACTAGGGAAGAATCAGGAAAAAAGTAAAATTACAAAATGTAAGGTTGGCAAAGAGTGTAATAGGTAAAAATAAAGCAGGGAAAATGTTAGGAAGTGGGACTGGAATTGCGGTTTTAAAATAAGTCAGAGGAGGCATCATTTGAGAAAATATTTAAAGGACACAAACTATGCAAAAATCTTGATGAGCATCTCCAGGAAGAAACATCATAAATGAGAAGATAGCAGATGAGGGGTTAGGGGGAATTCTTGTCATACTCCAGGAGGCCACTGGGGCTGGAGCTGACTGAACAAGGCAGAAAATGACAGGAGATGTAATTTAGGAGAAGATAAGGAAAGAATGAGGAGCCAGATGATGTAAGGCCATTTGAGAGACTAATTTTTACCCTGTGAGATGAGGTTTTGAGCAGAGGTGTGACGTCTGTCTTCCACTTTTGCATATTATTTGGGCAGTTTTGTTAAGAATAGACTGTAAGGAATGTGTGGGGTCAAGGAGGCAGGGAGACTTGTTGGGCAGTTATTGTCTCCTGAAAGCCATCTAAAGAAAAGGAGAGGTGATGTGGCCAGTAAAAGTGGTGAAAAAGTGATCAAATTCTGTGTTGAAGATAAAGTCAACAGGATTTGCTGATGGATTCAGTGTGGTGTGAGAGAATGAGAAGAATTAAGGATCATTCCAAGGTTTTTGGCCTGAGCTAGACATGGAGTTGGCCTCATTTGATAAAGAAAACAGTGAGTAGGGCATGTTTTATCTGGAGATGGGAAAGTGGAGATTGTGTATTAGGAACTTGTTTTGAGACCAATTAAATTCAAGGTGCTTTAGACACTGAAATGGTGAGGTTATTGGGTATATGACTCTAGGGTCCAGTTGAATACAAGTATTTAAAGCCCTGAAACAACATCACCAATGGAGGGAGTTTAAATAGAGAAAAGGAGTTGCAGGGACTGAACTCTAGGGAGTTTAAACATTATGACGTCAGGAAGATAAGACAAAATGCACACAGGGAGGTGAGGTAGAAAGAAAACCAGGTGAGTGTGGAGACCTGGAAGCCAAGTGAAGTGCTTCAAGGATGAGAGAGAGGGATCAACTGAGTCACTACTGCTGATGCTTCCAAAAACATGAGGACTGAGAAATGAATACGATTTAGTAACTTGGATGTCATTGTTGACCCCAACAGAGATGAAAATCAACAGGATATTTTGAAAGACAGTTGACTGGAGTAGAAGATTGTTGTTCAGTCACTAAGTCATGTCCAACTCTTTTGTGACCCGGTGGACTGTAGCCTGTCGGGCTCCTCTGTCCATGGGGTTTTCCAGCCAAGAATATTGGAGTGGGTTGCCATTTCCTTCTCCAGGGGATCTTCCCAACCCAGAGACCGAACCCATGTCCTCTGCACTGCAGGCAGATTCTTTACTGCTGAGCTACCAGAGAAGTCAGAGAGATGTATACTGAGAAATAGTGGAAGAAGAATCTGAATGGGTAAAGTAAGGCTAGGAAATGAAACACTTTTAATGCTGGATTGGAGAGTTTTACCTTTATCCTATGAAAAACTAAAAAATAAAAGTACTTGTATGGGACAGTGATAAAATAAGGCCAGTGTTTTTTAAAGTTTGTCTGATAGTAGTGATTTGGAAGAGGAGGTTCTAGATGCAGTAAGATTAATTAGGAATTATAAAAATGAAGCTGATTAGGAGGATGACAACAAAGAGGAATGAATAGATGTTGGATGACTGGTAGAATATAGAAAATAAAAGAAGAGATAATTAAAATGATTCTGAGTCTGCTTAAGAGAAGGATGGTGCCTGGCATCTCTGGGCTTCAAGTTAATATGAACTAGCTTTAGACATGGGCCGTCCCTGGGAATTTTGAGGCCCAGGAATTGTCCCTAAGTATGCACGGACTCAAGAAAGTTTCAGAAATCAGGAATATATGTGTGCATATTGGAATCTCTTACTGAGTCTGGGGTATGAAGGCTGGAAAAGGAGATATATATTAAGTACAGAGTTCATTCTTAGTAGGGAAAGAGATTACAGTGGTCCTGAGAGATTCTGTGATGAGAATTTGACGTAGATATTCCTTCACAGGTCAAGTCAGATAGAGGGAGACTCCTCATAGGTAATACAATTATAACGGCTAGGCAGGATAGTTATAAACAACTCTGCCTTCCTTGGAGAAAGAAGATGCATCTGCTAGCTTTTAGAGGAAGTTAGTAAGATTTAAAGAATAAGAAAATCAGAATGTGATGTGTTTATCATTTTTCAACTTGATTTGGTACTTCTACCCTAGAACATGTGAAAGTTGTAGAATTTTAGAAGAGGAAAAGAATGTACAGGTAACTGAACCATTTACTGCCTTTTTGCAGGCAAAGAAATTGAGGTTCTAAGAGCTTAAGTGCTATTTAAGAAGGCACTCTTCTAGTTCATTTCAGATATTCTAGTTCATATTCAGATATATTCATTGACAGATATTTATTGAACTCCTGCTATTTGCCAAGCACTGTGCAAGGTGCTGAGAATACAGAGGTGACGAGAGAGTTAATTTGGCACCAGATCATAGAAGACCTTATAGGCTATGGTAATGATTTTAATCTTTATGGTAAAAGTAATGGAAAGTGATTGAAGTTTTTCAATGAGGAGGGCTGTGAGAGGACATGATCAGGTTTGTGGCTCCCAGAGATCACTTTGCATTTTGAGAATGGTTTAGAGAACAGCAAGAGCAAATGGATTAGAGAGTCATTCGGGAAGGAACATTGACAGGACTTGGTTATGGGTTGACTTTGGGAGCCAAAGAAGAGAGGGATGTCAAGGTTGATTCCTAAGTTTCTGGCATAGATTTTGCTAAAAGAATTATGAGTTAATTTTTGGACCCACATTAAATTTTAGATAATTTTGAGATATCTAAGTAGGAACATCAAGAAGGCAATGGGATATACAAGGTTAGATGTAAATGAGAATATATAAGGAGAGGGTTTGAAGTGAGAAGAATGCCTTAGAGCTCCAAAAATGTCAATTACTATATAGAGGAGGAGCCTGCAAAGAAGACCAAGAAAGAGCATCCAGAATTAGGACTCAAATAAAGCTAGTAGTGTTGTGACAGCTAAGGGGGGAGAGAGAGCAGCAGTGTCAGATACTACCAAGAGTCGATGGTATGTGAGACAAAACAAAATTCCAGATTTATTATCACAGAGTGGTGGGTGGGGAAAAACAGAAAGGAGTAGATTAAGGAGTGAGGGGGAAAGATGATGAGTGTTGACACTACTGAAAAGTTTTTCTACTAAGAAGAAATGTGGGGTGGAGTGTATGTGTGTGAGAGAGAGAGATTTGAATATGTTTAAAAGGATTCCGTTGAGGAAAGGTTATGTGCAACTTCTCAATTGAGGAGAGAAAAACTCATAGGGGAAGGAATTCAGAAACATTTAGGGGTGGTGGCTTTAGAAAAGAGAGACAGGTATCAGCACTAGTCCTAAATAAGTACCAGGTCCTCAATGTAACCTGTATTTGCCTTATATATTTTAATAATTATATATACCATATAATTATAAAGACCTTATAAAGTCCTTAAATAACTAGAGAAGTACTTCTAAATTTCTAGATAATACATTTTTCTGAGTACTGTTACATGATTTCTCTTGGTTACTGGTGAAAGAAAATGCCAGATATATTTCATTTCAGACGTGTTTGAGAAAAAGACATTTGGAGAAGACATTTTACCCTATACTTATCCGATGAAAGGTTCTAAACTCTTAGCAGTGTCTCAGGAAAGGGACCCAAGAGTTATTGTAGACTCTTTGCTAGGAATGTTGGACGTATTGGATGTTTTGGCAAAGACCATCCTCAAGAAGAAGCCAAGGTAGGAAATACCAAGCAGATTCAGCCCTGTTTATATATTAAAATCCTAGCACATCTGCACATAATATACCACATCCAAATATAACTCAAGAGAAACAGCCGAACAGGAACATGTTCAAAGACAGGATAACTAAAAGGATAATGGGGAATCCCATAAATTTTGTAAGGGCAGACAGACAAGACCTGCATTCATCTATACATAGTTGGACAGGACAAAGAGTGGGCAAAATGAAAGTCTTTGAAATCAAAGGGAGAATGAGAGAAGAAACAGACCTAGTTTCCATTCATTAGACTTAAGGTAACCTCTTGAAGAGTAAAATAGGTCAAATATTTAGGTCAATTAAGAAGAAATAAGGTTTTAGACCTTAATTCCATAGAAGTAAGTTTGGGAGATGAGCTGTTTGTGAATGACTAAAGCATATGGGATTTGATTTAGACAGGAAGGATGCTGTCATCGTAAGCATCCTGGCCTCATGCTCCCCAGTCAGACCAAGTTAATGTCCCTTGCTGTCCAGCCTTGTTCTTTGGTCCTAGTTCACTGGCCTCAGGCCTGGATATGCCAGAAGCCAGAGCGCATCCAGAAAAAAAATACACAGTCAGCCTCCCTAGGTGTGACCAGGCCACTTCTCTCTCCTTGCCTCGTCAATCTGGCAGTCTTAACACCCTTCCACTTTAATCTGTACCCCCAGTTCTCACCCAGGTTTAGATCAGCCCTAATATCAATCCAAGAATCCTGTTCCCCATCTGCCTTAGCCTAATTTCCGTGGGTCCCGATACAGGGTGTTTATCAGCCCCGAGTCCACGTCCTTCACTGCAACTCACCTGCCTTGTTCATGTGCTTATGAGGCCAAACAGCTGTGAAGGGCAGAGCCTTGGGGCATCTAATGTTATAAGATCCTGCCACCAGGAGGCCTCTAACTGCTAAAACAGAAATCTTGCCCCTGGTCCCTGTTCCAACTTTTCCCACTTGGTTCTAGACTGTTCCTGACTCTGCTGTTGTCTTATCCTCACAGAAAGTTGAGGAAGCGAGCGGCCAAAGCCTCGGCCCGACGCTCCAAGCCCCTTGGAAGGTAATGGGGCAAGAGCCCCGGGACCTCCTGCTCATCCCTGTGGCCCCAGGAGGTGGATGGATGGAAGGCAGCCTATCCATGTCCATCCCAGAACCCAAGCTGATGAATTAGGGATGTGGCTGGGAAATGGCCATTCCAGGAGGGAGGGGAGGGGAGGCAGGCATGGGGATGGGTAAGCTTTGATTTAGGAAACACAAGGAGGAAATAATGTAGGAATGACTAAGGAGAGACCTCTGCATCTTTATACTGCCCCCAAATAGCTTGGACTCCAGCCTCCACCACCTGCATGCTTCCTCCCCTCCCCTAACTCCTAACCTCCCTTCATTCAGCTACATTCCCACACTCACTCCTCCCTCCACCATTCCTCTCATCTCCTCTCCCCTCACCACCTGGACAGACATCACCAGATTTCTCATCACTGTTGCTGAATCCAGAGAGCAGCATGTATTCCAAAAATACAGTTAAGTGGTATTCAGCAGTGTATGTGGAAAATCTGACTGCCTTTGCTTTGCTCCTTCCCATGCTCTGCATGAAGGGTCCTTCCTAGAAACAGAAAAAAGAAATAATCCTTTACCTTTCCTGGGTAATGTACCTGACCACGACTTCCACTAACTTCTTTCTCCTTTTTTCAGACCAGTCACCAAGCTTAAAGCCAAACCTAAAACCCGAATGGGCAGGGGGCCAGTTAAGAGGTAAATAAAGTTTAGGCTGGGTGGAGAGGAAAGGGAGCGCCAAGTGATGAGTTGGGGGCATCGGGCTGTGGTTAGGAAGGGGTCCAAGAGACGCCTCCATCAGGAGGTGGAGGAGCAGCAGCAACTGTTACAAGCCACCTTCCAGATGATTCACCAAAATGTAAAGTAAGATTGGCCCTTTTGTTTTGGGTTTTGTTTGTTTGTGTTTTTGTTTTTTGGTTTTTTTTGGCCCTTATGTTTTTTGTCTGAGGAATTAGGCTCATCACAGGATTTTTGAAAAACCTCCATAGAAGTTCACGCATTGACTTCTCCTGTTCCACATGCTTATTTGTCTTCCCCCAGAAGATTTTAGTAGATACTCTGGCCCTCTTGTCCTTCAGATGCCATGCTTGCCTCTCACCCAAGAAGTTAAGTTTCCCTAAGGGATCAGTGTTCCCATCCTACCTTTATTTGATAATCGTTAAATGGAATAAGTGCTACTGGGTTGGATGTGATACTCAGGATCCCCTCTGGAACCTTTCCCAGGGAAGGAGTCAGATGGCAGTCCTGACTCTCTGGCCCAGTTAACACGATTAGGCTCCCATTTCCATCATTTTCCTCCTGGGTGCCTTCAGAACCCCAGGGAACAAAAAGCTCCCAATCCCAATGATTGCATCTCACTTGGCTTCTGAAGGCAGTTTGTGCATGAAAAGTCTCCTGGAGAGCTTCTTCAGCTGTGGGTGAGCTGTAGAGAATTCAGCCCTTTCTGTTGTCTCCGCCTCTCTTCACAGCATCCCAGGATCACTCAGTGGTCCCAGGCACCCCTCACGCCCCAGCTCCTCCCTCTGGTGCCTTCAACAGGCCTTGGGATTTGGGGGTGTTCCCACAGTGCCCTTCTAGCTTAGGGTTGTGTTGCACAACGTGGCCATACCCTGGCCTTCCCTGACCCCCATGTTAAAGTGATGACCTCTTTCACTTTTATTTTCAGCCAGACAGGACTTCGAAAGAATACTAAGTCTCTTTGAGCTTCAGAGTCCACTTATCTTGAGCTTCCAAAGGTATTCTGTAAAGTCTCCAGGCTTCCTCTGTCTGATTTGTCTATAACTTATCCCTCTGTGTGTCTTCCTAGCCAGTGGCTTCAAATCATCATATTCCTCCTCTGACATCAAGTGATAGAGCACATTACTGCAGTAATTCACCACCAGACCACCCTCAAAGGCCCACTCCACCAACACAAGGCTTCATTGGTTCCTTCCCTCTCTGGGTTCAAACCAGCTGTTCTAGGAAGAAAGCTCTTATCACATGGCTCACTGCAATATTCCATCCCGTTGGTGTTGATAACCAAGTCCCCTCATTCTCTCCAGCATCTCTCTGCTGTGTTTCCAAGTTTTAACATCTCTACTTTAGTCCCATTTTCCTGCTTAGGTGGCTATGGAACATTCTTTCTGATACATTTAAACTACAGAAGCATGGATTACCTCATTAAAGACCCATACAGTTCAGCTTTCGGTCTGGGGCTATCCTTACCCTTCTGTTTTTCATATTCCCTCTCCTTCTTTGGTCGTGTGGTCTCTCTCTGTCTTGTATTTGTACATCTTCATTCCTATTTATACCAACTCCTGTCTTTCCTCTTCACCATCTGCTCTGTTCTTCCTGTAACTGCCCATCATCCTCTGGCCTGGAAGCCCCTCTGGCCTCTTAAGAAGCCATGTGGACCCAAGACTTACTCACTTCTTTGCATCCTGACTCATTTAGTTCTTTCAGTCGCAGTGTAATAGAAAGATCTGCTTACTCTGGCCATTCAGGCTTCCTGTTAGCTACTCCCTCCTGCCTATCTCTTCCAGATGGTCGGTCCTGGCTTCCTAATCTCTTTGCACAGCAGCTTCAGCCTCCATTAGGGCCAGCTCCCTGAAACCACACAGAACAAGCTTGCTGTCAGGCAAGTCAAAACTAGCCTTCCTCCCCACAGGATTCTTCTGTTGCAGAACATACCCAAGGACCCCCCGTCTGGGCTCTCTCAGCCTGGAAACTCCCCATTACCATTGTCTCTTTGTCTCTGTGTTTCTGCAGAGAGGAAAAGAAGAACTAAAGCGGTCATGAAAGGTTGGGGGATGGCGGAGGCATGGAGCGGGAGGAGGGTAGTGGGCAAAGAGGCAGGCGCGTTGTTTTACCCAACTACTCCCACTCCTGTCCCCCCAGGCTGCTGGCCCGGCGGCAGCAACACTCCTTTGGTCTGCACGGGGTGGCATGCGTGGGCACGGAGGCCCACCTCTCCCTCTGCTCCTTGGAGTTCTATCGAGCCAATGACACCATCAGGTGCCCTGGGGGGGCCCCTGCGGTGGTGAGCTGTGTGCCAAGCCCTCTCTACGCAGCATCCAGTGGCCAGAAGAAGCAACAGTCGAAGCCTCAGGGGGAGGTGTGTGAAACACTATGACCTTCCCCACCACCCAGGTGAAGAACCCCGTAGCCTGGCCACCCCTTGATTAAGCATAGTTCTGACCTTGGAGGACAGAGAGGAACCTTCCAGGGGTTGGGCCACAGACCTGAGACCACCTGCTCCCTCCCACCAGAATCACATTCATTTCCCAGGTCTACTGTCTCTGTGCTGATGTTCCCATTCACTGCTGGGCACCTCTCTCTCCTCTACAGGCCCGAGTGCGTCTAAAGGGTGGAGCCCACCCAGGAGAGGGCCGGGTAGAAGTCCTGAAAGCTGGCACGTGGGGCACAGTCTGTGATCGCAAGTGGGACCTGCAAGCAGCCAGCGTGGTGTGTCGGGAGCTAGGCTTCGGGAGTGCTCGAGAGGCTCTGAGTGGTGCCCGCATGGGGCAGGGTGAGGCGGGCACAGGTTGGAGGGAGAGGGAGGTAGGAGGTACATACTCCTGGAGGGGTACCTTCCTTAGGAAGGAGACCCCTGGGCAGAAAGTAAAGTTAGAACCTCCCCATCTCTGACTTCTGACCTTAGGCATGGGTGCCATCCACTTAAGTGAAGTTAGATGCTCTGGACAGGAACTCTCTCTCTGGAAGTGCCCCCACAAGAACATCACAGCTGAAGACTGCTCCCATAGCCAAGATGCTGGTGTCCGATGCAACCTGCCCTACACTGGGGTGGAGACCAAGGTCAGGCACTCTTTCCACCTTGGTTCAGGTATCTCGTCCTATCCAGTCCTACCTGGTCATGATGCAGTCTGATGGCCCTTCTGCCCACTGCCTCAGGCCCCTGTCATCCTGCAGCTCCCCTTGATGCCACCACTTTCTAGCCCTGTGAGTGCTTCTGAATCACCATTCAGTCCTGGGCCCACTGCAGACTCCCACTCCTCCACCCCGAAAGCGTCCGCAGCACTTCCATTGCCTCACTGCAGATCCGACTCAGCGGGGGCCGCAGCCGCCATGAAGGGCGAGTGGAAGTACAGACAGGGGGCCCAGGCTCCTTTCGCTGGGGCCTCATCTGCGGAGACGGCTGGGGGACACTGGAGGCCATGGTTGCCTGCAGGCAGCTTGGGCTGGGCTATGCCAACCACGGCCTGCAGGTGAGTGGGGAGCAGAGAGGAACCGAGGCTGTTGCCTCCAGAGGTTGTGTTGGGGACAGAGGTCTGTCAAAATGAGTCCCTTGGCTGGCGAGGCTGGATGGTGGCCTCACAAAAACACCTCTCTATGTCCCCAGGAGACCTGGTACTGGGATTCGGGGAATATAACAGAGGTGGTGATGAGTGGAGTGCGCTGCACAGGGACTGAGCTGTCCCTGGACCAGTGTGCTCATCATGGCACCCATGTCACCTGCAAGAGGACAGGAAGCCGTTTTACTGCTGGAGTCATTTGTTCTGAAAGTGAGTGAAGTGTCTGGCGATGCAAGCCAGGGAAGGGAGGCTCTGGCTCACCTCTTTGCAGGGAGAGCTGCAATCTGGAGGGGTACACTTTCCCTGTGGAAAGCCAGTCTCACCCGTTTTATGGGGAGGGGATGGAAGCACTCCCACCTGTCCCTGCCCCTCAGCAGTGACATCTAACTCTCCTCCCTTCCTCGGTGCAGCCGCATCAGATCTGCTGTTGCACTCAGCACTGGTGCAGGAGACCGCTTACATCGAGGACCGGCCCCTGCACATGTTGTATTGTGCTGCTGAAGAGAACTGCCTGGCCAGCTCAGCCCGCTCAGCCAACTGGCCCTATGGCCATCGGCGTCTGCTCAGATTCTCCTCCCAGATCCACAACCTGGGACGTGCTGACTTCAGGCCCAAGGCCGGGCGCCACTCCTGGGTGTGGCATGAGTGTCATGGGTGAGAGGGTCAGCTAGTAGAAGGGCAAGACCACTGGGGAAGAGGCGCATCTGTGGGGGCAGGGAAGGAAACAGGGATTCCCTTGTCCCCACAGGCATTATCACAGTATGGACATCTTCACTCACTACGATATCCTGACCCCCAACGGCACCAAGGTGGCCGAGGGCCACAAAGCTAGTTTCTGTCTAGAAGACACCGAATGTCAGGAGGGTGAGTTGGGGCCTAGAATAGACTGCACTATCCTCATCTCCACAGCCTTGCCTCACATGACATATGTTCATTTCCTCAGATGTCTCCAAGAGGTATGAGTGTGCCAACTTTGGAGAGCAGGGCATCACTGTGGGCTGCTGGGATCTCTACCGGCATGACATCGACTGTCAATGGATTGACATCACAGATGTGAAACCAGGAAACTACATTCTGCAGGTGCCTGGGTCTGAGACTTGCACTTGTTGAGTGGGAGGATTGTTTAATTAAAGGCAGCTTTGGATTTGAGGAATGCAGCTCATTTGTTGGCTTTCTCCCACTCACAGGTGGTCATCAACCCCAATTTTGAAGTAGCAGAGAGTGACTTCACCAACAACGCCATGAAATGTAACTGCAAATATGATGGACATCGCATCTGGGTGCACAACTGTCACATTGGTATCTGGCGGGAAGAGAAGCCAGAAGGCCTGGGGGTGGGAGGGAAAGGCCTTCATTCTCATCTCCCTAGGTTGTTTCTGGGCCTCCCACCCACTTCCGGATCTCCCAGTCTCTCCATTTTCACCCACCCTTCCCCACAATGGGTCTGTTTTCCTACCCAAACTACCTGTTCACCTTTCAGGGGATGCCTTCAGTGAAGAGGCCAACAGGAGGTTTGAACGCTACCCTGGTCAGACCAGTAACCAGATCATCTAAGGTGCCACCACCTTCCTCTCCAGACCACCACTGGCCCCTAATGGCAGGGGTCTGAGGCTGCCATTACCTCAGGAGCTTACCAAGGAATCTTTGACGTCAGCAGGCCCATAGCACTCATCCGTTGTGCACTGCGGATGTGGAACCGTCAAGCAGAAATCACTGCCCTCTTTCCTAGGCCAGCTGTCCTGATCTGTGGCCAGGCCCGGGGAATTCTGCACCCAGGCCCAGCACCAAGCCAAGCACACCAGAGAGGCGCACCTGATTAACTGCCCAGGACAACAGACAACAGCAGCTCATTTTCTTGAATAGGGAGGTCAGAATGGTTTAACTCCAGTATCTCCCCTCAGTTCTGGAAGATAAAGCTTTACCTCTAGCCTTTTTGTGGGGGGAAAGAGCAGTGTTCCACCCTCCCCCTCATTTTTCAGTATGACATGTTGTTAGGTATAATTTTATTTTATATAAAAAGTGTTTTTGTGATTCTTCAGAGTCCAGGAATCGGTGCTGGTAGTTGGAGGGACCTGCCCCCAACTGGTTCATTTAATCCACTGTCCAGGTGCCCTCAGAGCCCAAGCCATGAAACCAAGGCTGAAAGCAGGAGCCTCCTACTCTTGCTGATCCATTCATTCTGTGACTTCAGGGGTCACATATAAGGTCAATGTTTCCTGTCCTCGCCGGATCCGCACTGCCAGTTGGGATTGGGTTCGAACAGCTTCATAAATATCTTCAGCATTTTGTACCAGCTGCTCCCCAATAGCCAAGATCACATCACCAGGTCGCAGACCAGCCCTATGGCAAAAGACAGAGATATAAAGGAGGGACTAGATGGCCCAGTTCAAGGGCACATACATGCTCCACCCATCTCCAAGGGCACATACATGCCCCACCCATCTCCACCTCCTAATGCAGCCTCTCCCTCACCGGTGAGCAGGGGAGTCCAGGATGACTTTATGGATGAGCACACCATGCTGAACATCAGGAAAGCTTGGTTCTCGAAGCTGTAGTTCAGCAAGGATGCTGAAAGGACACATATCACTCTGTTAATCACAGGGCACTCTCCCCATTTGGGGTTTGCCTCAAATCTTTCATCAGCACACTGACAAATGTGTGAACAGGGCATGCACTAGATCCTCTTGATACAAAAACAATTCACTTTCTGCCTTCTAGCAGTTAGGAAGTGGAATATGTATATATAGAAGATAACATTCCAAATGACACACAGTGTTAAATCAATAGCACTAATGTCATTCGAGAATCCTAAGAGAAGCTATAACTTTAGGAAGTGCTGTAACTTTAGCTTAACCTAGAAGGATCAATCTGATATTTAACTATATAAAATAAGAACAACATAAAAACAGGGGATTAGGAATCAAGTTGGCCAGAACAGAAAATACTCATAAGGAAGCCACGTCTGGAAGGTTGGGTATTGTAAATCTGAGCAATAACAGGATGGGAGGTATGCCAAATAGAGTAATGTGAGAAAAATCAAGATAATGAGAGAGGACAGCTCCTCTGATAGCTCCAAGAATGAGGCAACTCATCTTAGATAAAAACAGAACTAAGAACGAAGCTCAACAGAAGTGCCAGGTACCCACCACTGGTTACACTGATGGCCCTACATGTCACTACCCCTAAAGCTCATACCTGGGAGTCAAGGTCAGCATCATCACCCCAATGTAGCGGCGCTGGGATCCACTGATTCCAAACCAGGAATCTGTGTTAGAAGGACAAATGAGCCGCACCCAGGTATATCCTTACTTCCCCTCCTCCACCCAACAGACCCCTCTACAGCAAACCCTCCCCACCCCTGCCACTTAAAGAAACCCCTTTCCCCGCAAGCCAGGCTTACTCTTCTTTTCTCCACGATGCAGAAACTCTCGAAGGCGATCGGAAGGGATGGCAAAGGAGATTCCAGCTGTGACCTTCATGGTATTCACCCCAATCACCTCCCCATCCTGTTGGGACACAGCCCACTATTCTCTAGCCCAAACAAATAATAGGAGATGGGGGTATCTGAGCAAGAGTGGCAGGGAGTTTTGGGGGAGATCTAGTTGGATTCTGGGAGACAGCCAACAAGAAACTGCTCAGAAACTTGACCAAACATCAGTGAGTTAGGGAAAACCCACCCCTTCCCATACTGACCTGGGACAGGGATTCTTGGAAAGGATGTCGCACTTACCAGGTTAACCAGGGGACCTCCAGAGTTTCCAAACTGCAGGACAAGGAGAAAAGATGGGAGAAATCCAGGGACTCTACGCCTCGGGGCACAACCAGGATGTAGACACTTTCTCCAAATCCTCTCCTTTCCCAGCCCGTGAAGGAGTGGCCACATTTTTTGCGACCCAATCCTGGTATATAGGCTCATCCACCATCTATTACAATTGGTGCCTGTACCACACACCCCCTAGCCTCCCCCAACCTAGTCTTTCATTTCTCTCATGTCAGGACGCACATCAATAGCGGCATCAGTCTGGATGTACTCCACATTGGTTTGCGGAAGGCCCAGGTCTTTGGCTGGACGCTGAGCAGAGCTGACAATGCCGGAGGTGATTGTGTTCTGCAGCGCAAAGGGACTGCCCATAGCAACAACAAACTCCCCTTGGCGGACGTCCGCCGAGCGCCCCAGGGGCAGCGTGGGGAGAGGCTCCTAGGAGAGAATGGGCGCGAGGACGTGTCACCTGGAGATGTGAACAGATTCACAGCCCCAAGCAGACATGGCCCGCCCCGGCCCCCACCTTGGTCTGAATCCTCAGCGTGGCGATGTCTGCCACGGGATCCACAGCTGTGACCACGGCCTCATACGTGTCGCCGCTAGGCAGCCTTACACGGACTCGGCGCCGATCAGCCACCACATGGGCATTGGTAACGATGAGTCCATCGGCAGCCACCACGAATCCTGAGCCATTCGAGATAGGGACTTCGCGGCCCGAAAAGGGGTGCCTGGAATGGGGGGTCGGGGGGAGAGTACAGATGTGAGGAGGCTCGGGCCAATCCTTCTCGCCCGCCCTCTAGCCCGCGGCTTCGTTGCCTTAGTGTTTACCCCCACCGTTACCGGCCCAAGATCTCGATATAAACCACGGCAGGGGCCGTCTTCTCCACCACGTCCGCGATGAAGTTGTACTGGCTCCGGGGAGAGGTGGGCGGCGAGCCAAGGACCGAGGCGAGCACAGCCGGGGGTCCCCGCCCCCCGCCCCAAAACAACAACAGCACTGCCCCTCCAGCGCCCAGCGCCACCGCCAGCCACACGCGGGGACGGGTTCCAGGAGTCCCTGAGTCTTCCGGGGTCCGGGGATCTGGGGTCCCAGCGATCAGCCGTGCTCGAAGATCCGAAGTCCGGGACCTCAGACATGTCCTTGGTTCAGGGACCCCCACAGATAACCGGGCCCTGAAACTGGGGGTCCCATAAGTCACTCGGGTCCGAGGGTCAGAAGTTCCTGACGTCAGCAGGGCCCGGAGGTCAGGGGTCAACAGGGGTCCCTTTCCCCAGCGACCCCCCCCCAAAGCCCGCCATCCCCGGAGGCTCCAGCCAGCACCCCGCCCCGCCCTCAGTGCAGCCATCAGCTCCGCCTCGGCGGCTTCCTCGCCCGCCCAGCGCAGAGGCGGCGCCCTAAAGACGTGAGCGGGAGGACAGCTGGACGCTGAGGACGCCGGTACCTGAAGTCTCCAGAAGTGCACGCTGGGACCCAGGATTCCGGGAGGCCAACTCCGCCCCCGCCCCGCGAATGCCGGGAATTGTGGTCCCCGCGGAACGCGAGTTATGAGGTGGCCCACGGGTCCGCGAGGCATGCTGGGACCGCTAGCCCTTCCGGGGCGCCTCAGAATTTCAGGTCCCGGCACCCTGGGCGGATGCCCGAAGACTCCGCCTTCCCAAGAGCCCCTGCGGCGGGGCGCGAAGATGGCGGCATCGGCCAGGCAACCCTAAACAGCGGCAATGGAGCCTCCCTCGTCGCCGGGGCCGGAGCGGCTCTTTGATTCGCACCGGTAAGAGCCCCGGCGGGAAGAGACAGACTTCCGCGTCCACTTGGCCTTCGGCGCCCGATCACCCCGCCTCTCGCCCCCAGGCTCCCGGGTGACGGCTTCCTGCTCCTCGCGCTACTACTCTACGCTCCAGTCGGGTTCTGCCTCCTCGTCCTGCGCCTGTTTCTTGGGATCCACGTCTTCCTGGTCAGCTGCGCGCTACCAGACAGTGTCCTTCGCAGGTTCCGACCCGGGCGCTCGGGGAGGGTCGGGGCTGGGCCTGGCCCGAGGCCAGATAGTCACCACTGCCTGCGTTCGCAGGTTCGTGGTGCGGACCATGTGTGCAGTGCTGGGGCTTGTGGCCCGGCAGGAGGACTCTGGACTCCGGGATCACCGTGTCAGGGTCCTCATTTCCAACCACGTGACACCTTTCGACCACAACATAGTCAATCTGCTCACCAGCTGTAGCACCGTGAGTTCGGGAGGAAGCCGAGAGTGCCACGGAGTGGCTCCCTGGGGCCCAGCTCAAGGCGCTCCTCTCCGTGTGCGGCTTTCCCTTGGGGACCACAAGATACCCTTACCCCGACCTCGCTTTTCTACCCATATGTCACTTTTTCTCACTTCACGGCATTCTTTTCTTCTTGCTTTCTCTCCTTCCGGTTCCCAGCCTCTACTCAATAGTCCCCCAAGCTTTGTGTGCTGGTCTCGGGGCTTTATGGAGATGGATGGTCAGGGGGAGTTGGTGGAGTCACTCAAGAGATTCTGTGCTTCAACACGGCTTCCCCCTACCCCTCTGCTGCTGTTCCCCGAGGAAGAAGCCACCAATGGCCGGGAGGGGCTCCTGCGCTTCAGGTGGGTGAGCACAGGTATTTGTCTCCAACTGTAGGTGATCAAGCTTGGGGGCCCTTGGGTTTTCACAGCCTTGTTCAGCCCTGCCCCCTACCTTCCTAGTTTATTTACTTTTTTCCCACTTTTAGTTCTTTCCCCTGAATCCGTTTATTTCCCACATTTCTATTTGTACAGTGTGACAGTTATCTGTTTTAAGTCAGGTATGAGCTGCTGACTAGATTGGCTAGAATCCCATCTTACTTTCTTCACTTTTCTAGTTCCTGGCCGTTTTCTATCCAGGATGTGGTACAGCCTCTTACCCTGCGAGTCCAGAGACCCCTTGTCTCTGTGGTGAGTGTGTTCCACAGGGAATCTCTGGGTTTGGAGGGGAAGTTTCCTACTCCTGGCCCTGGTTTAGACCTCACTCATGCCCTCCCCTCAGACGGTGTCAGATGCCTCCTGGGTCTCAGAACTGCTGTGGTCACTTTTCGTCCCTTTCACGGTGTATCAAGTAAGGTATTAACTGTCCTCACTTTTTGGTGGCTGGGAGAAACTCATCTCAAGGTCACGGAAGTAGCTGTCTCTGCCCTGTCCATTTGCAGATCTTTTAATATCAAGGTCCTACCACAGAGGCAATATAAAGTATTTACTACCTCCCCTACTGTCACCACCACTGTTCCAAGAAAAGAGGTATCAGAGTGGAGAGTGGGTGCCCCCAACGTGGACCTGGATTGTTTTTTGCAGGTGGCTCCGTCCAGTTCATCGACAGCTGGGGGAGGGGAGTGAAGAGTTTGCCCTCCGTGTACAACAGGTGGTAGGGGACACGGGCAGGGTGGAAGTGGGTTCTTTCTTTGGGGGAAGGAGAAGAACACTTGAGAAACTGCCAGTCCTCCAATTCTCCCTAGCTGGTGGCCAAAGAACTGGGCCAGACAGGGACACGACTGACTCCAGCAGACAAAGCAGAGCACATGAAGCGACAGCGACACCCCAGATTGCGCCCTCAGTCAGGTGTGTGGTCTCTGACCTGCAGCTTTTCCACTCTTTTCAGCCTGTTGTGACTTCCTCCCTGTGTCTGTGCTAATCAGCCTTGCTCCTCTAGTCTTCCACTCACCATATTTCTGATTTCTTTTTTGCAGCCCAGTCTTCTTTCCCTCACTCCCCTGGCCCTTCTCCTGATGTGCATCTGGCAAGTCTGGCTCAGAGAGTGAAGGAGGTTTTACCCCATGTTCCACTGGGTGTCATCCAGAGAGACCTAGGTATGAGAAAGAGTAGCTTTACCCGAGGAGGCAGGTGTCGAGAGGGAAAGTGGGCGGTGAAGGGAGAAGGTGAGCAGAGAAGCCAACTGCGCTGTCCACTCCTCCCTTCTCCCCAGCCAGGACTGGCTGTGTAGACTTGACCATCACTAATCTGCTTGAGGGAGCTGTGGCTTTCATGCCTGAAGACATCACTGAGGGGACCCAGTCCCTTGCCACAGCCTCCACTCCCAAGGTGAGGCCCAGAAAATGAGCCGGTCTAGGACTTGAGGTGGGATGGGGCAGTCTGCATATTCCCTGTTCTGACATCTGTCCTTTGACCCTGAGACCCTAGCACAGTACCTCTCTTGCAAAGTAGGCATTCGATGCGTGTTTAATGATGATGACTTCGCAAGCCCTCTGACATTGTGATCACCTCAGTTCCCCAGCTCTGGCCCGGCAACCCCTCAGCCCACAGCCCTAACGTTTGCCAAGTCCTCCTGGGCCCGGCAGGAGAGTCTACAAGAGCGAAAGCAGGCGCTGTATGAATATGCAAGAAGGTGAGACGCTGAGAGGACAAGTGGTAGGAAAGGGCAGGTTGGAGAAAGAGGATAATACAGCAAAGCCCATACAATGTCTTCTTGTGTCCCACAGGCGATTCACAGAGAGGCAGGCCCAGGAGGCTGATTGAGTACGGGATGGCACCCAGAGCCGCAGGACGGAGGCTGGGGGCAGCCCTCACCCACCTCACAACAGGCTGGATGGGTGGGGGCTAAAGGGAGGAATGGGGCTCCCCCCAGCATCACATTAAATTCAGGGTTTTCACTCACGGTCTCTGTTGCCTCTTTGGGTCTCAAAAGCCCTGTAGCAGTTTCCTTGTCCCTTGGTCGCGGGGATCAGAAATGAGGGCCTCCTTGTGGGTTTGTGGAGGGTTGGTCAGAATGGAACTGTCTGCAGTCACCTCCTCATGTCAAGAGATGAGTGATATTAAGGAAGTATAACTAAGCTGAATGCCCAGCAGCAACTGGACCCTGGCCTCAGAATTCAGGCTAGGCATGTGAAGAAACAGCTGCAGAACTGCAGGTCCCAGGATACCTTTCACTAATGAGCACAGAACACAAAGTCTGTAGAATTCACGCATGCCCAGTGTGGTGACTGGAGCCTATTTTCCATAGGCTCCTAACTAGGTTAAAGAAGGTGGAGCACATGGCCCCACCCCAGAACAGTCTCTAGGACTGTGTCTGAGCAGTGCCCCAGGGTGGATCCGGAATTGACCTTTGTACCTCACAGCAGGTCAGGGTTTGTGGTGACTTGCTGGGTGGGTCTGGAACTGGCTGCCATTCCAACTCGTCTCAGAGCTGCAGGCAAAGGTTTGAATCCAGGATCCTTGTGGCCCTTCTCCCCAATTCTTGACCCCACTCCTGCTCTTCATTTTCTCCCCAAGGGACTTTCCCACGGGTGACCAGGTCTTTCTTCCTTTCTTTTTGGCTATGTTGGGTCTTAGTCGTGGTGCCCGGGCTTTGTTCCCTGCCACAGGCAGGGTCTTATGTCCCCAACCAAGGATCGAACCCACGTCCCCTGCATTGGAAGTTGGGTTCTTAACTACTGGACTGCCAGGGAAGTCCCAATAGTCCACTTCTGATAGTCCCTTACTTGGAGACTCAACTCTTCCCTGTTTCCCGGCAGACAAGAAGTACTGGGAAGGATGGACCCCAGTGCATTATCACCTGAGGGTTCAGGTTAGGGATCAGGGCTGAGGTGGGAAGATGGTGTCAGTCACCAAATACGAGGCCTTGATGACTGCCCTGCCTCCTGTAGGTCTTGCTAGACAGTCACCATGGCCTCTCAGCTTCTCGGGCTGGAAGAAGAGTCTGGCCCAAACCCTGGGGAGTCTGAACTGGCTGTGAACCCCTTTGACGGGCTCCCCTTCTCTTCCCGCTACTACAAACTACTTGAGCAGCGCCGATCCTTGCCTGTCTGGGCTGCTCGCTTTATCTTCTTGGAGCAATTGGAGAGTAGCCCCAGTGGAGTGGTACTGGTGTCTGGAGAGCCTGGTTGTGGCAAGAGCACCCAGGTGGGGGTCGGGGGGTGGGGAAGGATATTCTGACAAAGGGAGGGGGTAGGGAACTGGCTCCTCCTGGGACAAGGCCGGGAATGGGGTGGGGGTTGCTGTGTGGAATAATAGGGGAGGTGGTCAAAAGGAGACAGGCAGTGAAGTACCAGAGAACTCCTCAAATAAGGAGAGATTAAACTGGCAACAGCTCCTCCAGCACTTCAGAGTTCTGTGTCTCGCTGACGGGTTGTCCTTTCCTGTGCTTACCCCAGATCCCACAGTGGTGTGCAGAGTTTGTGCTGGCCAGAGGTTTCCAGAAGGGTTGGGTAACTGTGACTCAGCCTTACCCTCTAGCAGCACTGAGCTTGGCCCTGCGAGTTGCTGATGAAATGGACCTGACCCTGGGTCATGAGGTTGGATACAGCATCCCCCAAGAAGACTGCACTGGGCCAGACACTCTGCTAAGGTGTGGCCCCTTGCAGGCCCGACTCAAATCTCCTTCCGCTCACCCCATAGAAACAAACGCGGCCTTCGGACATCTCACTGTACCCTCCCTCAGCTTAGCTCACCCTTTAAATCATGCATGATGCAATTTCTGAATTCAGTCATTTAACCCTAGCCAGCAACCTCAGATATTCAACTTCACTGTCATCTTGAAAGTCTCACTTTCCTAACTGGAGTACAGCTTATGAACAGTGTCACCAATAGGTCACAGAAAGTCACAGGATCTTTTTCTGACCTTTACTGTCAGAGCCTAGGCCCCCTGGGGAGAAGCTCCTCTGGACTTCTGGGGCTGGTCGGTGTCCACACTGACTCCTCTGCCCACTGCCCATGTCAACAGGTTCTGCTGGGACAGGCTGCTTCTGCAGGAGATAGCCTCGACCCGGGGCACTGGAGCCCGGGGTGTGCTGGTCCTGGATGAGGCTCAGGAGCGGTCAGTGGCCTCAGATTTGCTCCAGGGACTCCTTCGAGATGCCAGGCTGGGAAGCCTTCCAGGGGACCTCAGAGTGGTTGTAGTTACTGACCCAACCCTTGAACCTAAGCTCCAAGACTTCTGGGGCAACCCTCCTATTGTGTGTGTACCCAGAGAGACTGGCAGGTGTCCCACTCCTGTCTATAGAGACTCTTTCCCTACTGATCGAGTGGAAGCTGCCTGCCAGGCTGTGCTTGAATTGTGTCGGAAGGAGGCTCCAGGAGATGTGCTAGTGTACCTGCCCAGTGAGGAGGTAAAAAAAACAGGATGCGAAAGGAGGTATTCATGTCAGATGTCTGCCCCTTCCTGTCCCGGGGGAGAATGGAAGCAATGCTTATTAGGAACATTGGAGTTCTAGTACTTACTGTCTGTTGGAGTCTTGAGGAAAAACTCCAGGGTTTGGGGATAAAAACTTTTTGATTCCATACAATGTAGAGATTTTCAGTTCATCCTGAAATTATACCACCCCAACTTTATATGAGTATGTGCACTTTTTCAGAGTGAAGGTCCATAGCTTTCATCAGTTTTTCAAAGGGGTCTCTGACCCACAAAGGTGAGAATTACCCTAACACCCCACCTCTCTCTTCAGGAAATTTCCCTGTGCTGTGAGTCCTTGTCCAAGAAGGTAGGGTCCTTGGGAAACCAGGGGCCTCCACCACGGGTGCTGCCCCTTCACCCAGGCTGTGGACGAGCTGTCCAGGCTGTGTACGAGGACACAGAGGCGGGTGCCCGGAAGGTTGTGGTCACTCACTGGCTGGCCGACTTCTCCTTTTCCCTCCCTTCCATCCGACATGTCATTGACTCAGGACTGGAGCTTCGAAGTGTGAGTGAAAGACAAGTGAGGGGACATGGGCTAAAGATAGAAATAGCCCACTCTCATCTGTCTTGGCCTTGGTTGGGGGTGGTGACAGGTTTACAGTCCTCAGATCCGAGCAGAATCTCAAGTGTTGAGACCAGTCAGCAAGTGTCAGGCAGACGCAAGACGACTCCGGGCAGCAGGGATCCCACCAGGTAAGAGCTCTTGCCCTCAGTAGGATCAAACACGAGGAGAGTCACCGACCCACAGGCCCTGAGAAATCTACAGTGGTCTTCTTTCCCAGATCTTTCTCCCCTCAGGATCCTGCCTCTGCCTGTATCCTAAGTCCTTCCTAGAAGTAGAGGCTCCCTGCCTGCCCCAGCCCAGAGTGTGGGCGGAGAATTTGAGCCCCCTGATGTTACTACTAAAGAGGAGACAGATTGCAGAGCCAGGGAAGTGTCACTTCCTGGACCGGCCTGGTGAGCACCCCTCCTGCCCACGTCCTGCTGCTCTCCAGGTTCTGAGATCTCCTGTCCTCTCAGCCTTGTTCCCTCTCCAGCTCCAGAAGCACTGATGCAGGCTCTGGAAGACTTAGACTATCTGGCTGCCCTGGATGATGACGGGGACCTGTCTGACCTGGGAGTTATCCTATCAGAGTTCCCCCTGGCCCCTGAGCTGGCCAAAGCCCTGCTGGCCTCGTGCGAGTTTGACTGTGTGGATGAGATGCTCACCCTGGCCGCCATGCTCACTGGTATAAATCACTTCTCTCTCTGGCTCTTATGACGACTCCAAGCCTTCCCTTTGGTGTCTGGTGCTCCTTAAGCTAGCCCATTCTGCTTGGCTCTAGTTCCCAGCCCTCACTGTGCCGAAAGAGTTAGGCTTCATCACTTATCCCTCTCCTGTCTGTTACTTCTTGTCCTGCAACAAGTCTCTCCTACCTGTTTTTACTGAAACTGTCCCTGTCTTGCTCAACCCTGTAACCCCTTCACTATTCAGAATAATCTCTATCCTGCTCAATCCAGGGTATTCCTCGCCCACTACATTCCAGCTTCAGGCCCACCCCAGCAGAAGAGTGACACCTCTGCTCACCAGTGGCCTCCTGGAGACCTAATCCAGCGAGCACTCTTGAGCCCTGTTCATGACTCTCCTTAGACACTTGAGAATGGCCACCACTCCGCCTTTAACATTGCGCCCTCCCTAAGCCTCTGTGGTCTGCTCCTAGTGGTCCTCACCGTCCCGCCACTGCCATCCCTCCGTCTCCCACTTGAGCTCTTCCTCCTCTGCTTGCTCAAAGTAAGTTAAACCTCAGGGTTCTACCCTTGGCCCTTCTGTCTTCTCATTCTCTGAACTCTCTGAGCAAGTTCATTCACATTCATGGTCTGAAACGCTACAATATCATTCTTCTGAATCTTGGATTTATATATCTAACTCCTGATGGTCATTCCTATCAGAATGGTCCACAAAACTCAACCCAGAACTGAACTCAAGCACTTCTGTTGTTGTTGAGCTGAGCCCTTTTTAAATCTGCTCCCTCACCACCACCACCAAAAAATCGTACCATCACCTCTGCAGCTCTATCATCATTCTAGACTAACCTTTCTCCAGGATTTTTTTTTCAATTTTATCTCTTAATTAAAAAAAAATTTTACCTGTTCTTCTTCATACTCAGAGTTAATGCCAATGTAGCTCCTCATCACTGCTCAGCTGGATTCCTTGAGTAGCCGCCTAACTAGTCATGTGAACTTCTTCCAAACATGTGGATTCTCTTAAAAACTCTTCTTCATCAGTTATTCTCTACCTTCCAAACAGAATGTAAATTCATTTGCACAGCCTTGCCCATACCTCCCTCCAGCTTTATCTCCTGCCACCCTGCCACACATACCGTTCCTTCTGTCCCAGGTGCTCGAAGTTCTCCAAACATGCTATTCCCACATCTAGAATACTCCCTCTGCCCTTCTCCACTCAACTAATTCTCAAACTTCAAATATTGGCCTGCACACCCATCTTACATGTTGGTCTCTCCCACTAGACTCTAAGCTCCTTGAGGGCAGAAACTGTTTTTCATCTATTTATCTTCAATGTCCAATAAAGTGATTGGTATCTAAAAGCCTTTTGAATGAAGTGCCCAGCGCGACGTCGCTGCCGTTTTCAGTGTACTGCTCTCTGTCCTCAGGCCCCAAATGAACTTCCTCTCTTCTGCCTCCAGCTGCCCCTGGGTTTACTCGCCCTCCACTCTGTGCAGAAGAAGCTGCCCTGCGTCGGGCGCTAGAACACGTGGATGGTGATCACAGCTCTCTGATCCAAGTGTATGAAGCCTTTATACAGAGTGAGTGCTCCACTCTGCATCCTCTTACAGAACCCCAGATTTTCCAAAGAGAGGAAGTGGTGTGCAGCCAGCTGACAGATCTCTAGTCCCAGGAAAAGGAAGCCCTTTGACCAAAAGTTGGGTTCTTTTAGGGGTCTCAAGGACTTTAGCTATAGCTGGTCCCTTTCTATTCCTAGGTGGAGCAGACAAGGCTTGGTGCCAGGCTCGGGGTCTAAACTGGGCAGCATTGTGCCAAGCCCGTAAACTTCGGGGAGAACTCCTAGAACTCATGCAACGGATTGAACTTCCCTTGTCTCAACCAGCCTTTGGATCTGAGCAGAATCGCAGAGACCTTCAGAAAGCGCTGGTGTCAGGATACTTCCTTAAGGTTAGAGGTTGGAGTAAGGATCATAAAAGGAACAGAAAGTAGAAGGAACAAAGGTTAAGGTATGCCACCTCTGAAATTGGGACCCAGGTGGCCATTCAAAGGACTCTTTAGAACCAGAAGAAACTTTTCCTTTGATGTTTTGGGGTACAAGGGGCTATGGAAATGCCATACATTATGGTCGTATGGTAGGGCTATAACACCTAGAGGTATGCCTTACTCTTAATACTCTCACTACCCTTGCTAATAATTCTTTCTCAACCCCCCTTTCTTTCTTCTACTGACACTTCACTCTCACTTATTCCTTCAATATCTTTGTCTTTCAATGAGGTGGCCCGAGACACAGATGGAACTGGAAATTACCTGCTTCTAACCCATAAGCATGTGGCCCAGCTCTCCCCACACTGCTGCTACAGAAGCCGCAGGGCTCCTGCCAGGCCCCCACTGTGGGTGCTGTACCACAGTTTCTCCATTTCCAAAGACAACTGTCTTTCCATTGTTTCTGAAATTCAGCCACAGATGTGAGTTCCCTGAAACCCCTCCTACACTGTCCATTCCTCTTCCTGGGGCCAAAAGCTAAGTGGGGGGTGGGGGGGGGGTGGCAGGGGCAGGAATGGAGGGGAGTGAGAGGGTCTTAGTGGTTTGTGGTAACATGATTTGAGGAGACAGGGTTTATGGAAGGGGTAGTAAGAAGTTCAACAATATGCATTATGAAAGAAATCATCTAACTATGAATGTCTCTGTCAGGCTGGTGGAATTGGCTCCTCCATACTTCCTGAGTAACTTACCTCCTAGTGAGAGCAGAGACTTCCTGAACCAGCTGAGGGAAGAAATGACAGATTCCTCAACCAGGAGTGAATCTTCCTCCACCCAAGAACTTGAAAATGCCTGTGTCCTGCAGTGACCTGCCTCTGGGGTGAAGTTGAATTCATCTCAACACATGAGATCTTCCCTCAGGCTAGCACCTAGGCAGCCATCCAGATTTAGAAGCCCAAGGGTCAAATGTAAATACTGGAAACTGAGTCCCAAGAAATGGAGCTGGGAGTGGAGCAAATTGGTTAAGCCCCAGGGTAGGACCAATTCCTTAGCTTTCTTCTATTTATTGAAGAGGAACTGACATGCCCTCCATACCCCCAACTTATGCCAAACCCATCCTTGTGCTCCCTTTTGGTCTATAAAAGTTGTTTATATGATACCAAATTTGAGTTTGGTTCTGCAGTAGCATTTACAGTATCTATGAGTTAAAGATGACACAATATAAAAGAATCAGGGTGAACTTCAACAGTGATATCCTCTTGCCTGGTTCCCACCTCTGGTCAAGCCTTTGTGCTATGACTGACCTTACTGTCACTAACAAGGAAAACAAGCAGTTTGACTACAGTTGGCCTCTGACCCTCCCTAAAGCTTACCTCACTCTATCAACTGGTCTTGCCTGCAGGGAAGGAAGAATGGGGGTGCTATAAGAATAAGACAAAATCGTCCCTTTTGTTCTCATACAACTTAAATCTTGCTTCTTCTTAAACTTCAAGGCTATTGGATCTGTACCCAAACCCTTAACTTTCCAGCAACAAGCTTCCCAGCAGCCCCTGGCCCACCCATAAGTTCTAACAACTTCAGGAACATCATGCTTTTACCAGCTGGGTACTCCTTTCGCTTTTCTTTCCTTAGACTATTAACTTTGATATTCTCAATCATCTTACACATTATAAATGTGTTTATAGAAATTGATAAAACATTTAATCCTTAGAACTCTGCTTTTCTGCTCAGAGTTCCCTCCCTTGGAGATGCGGTCTGCTTTCATCATTCCATCTATTTCCTCCTCTATATGGATGTCAACTGACCTCCCCCGAAAGGCATTTTTCCAGAATGTATTCTCTCCCTGTGTGCTTGCTCAGTCGCTCAGTCGTGTCCGACTCTCTGTGACCCCATAGACTGTAGCCTACCAGGTGCCTCTGTCCTTGGAATTATCCAGGCAACAATACTGGAGTGGTTGCCATTTCCTCCTCTAGGGGATCCTTCTCTCTAGGTTTAGCATTTAGTTTTGCCTGCAGGGTTAATCTTGGTCTTTCCCTTTCATCATCCACAGCACCACTGATTTCTTGATCCTTTACATTTCCAACCTAGGAATTATCTTTGATTATTTTTAAGCCTATCACTTCCTATTATTTGCCAGATTCTGCTCACTCTAACTCCCCAGGGCCCATTAACTTTGTCCATTGCTTCCCTTTCTGTCCCTGAGAGACACCAGAGCCTGATTAGTGTTCTTAGATTTTCTCTTTCATCAAGTGTGTCTCGCCCACCACTCACTTGGGAGGCTCAAGTCGGAGGACACAGTCAGCAGGTTAAACACACAATATGGGGCTCAAAGTCCTTAGCGATTATTTTACAGTTGAAGAATGACATGCCCAGCATGGATAACCCTCTGGTTCCTGTCACAGTCAGACTCGCCCTCCAGCACCTCCTCCATCACTCCCCTGTCATTGGAGTCTTCCTTCTTTCCTTCCTTCACACTTTTGGTACAGACCCGGCAGGCTGCAGCTGCCGAATCCCAGCGGGGCCTGCGAACAGCCTGGGCCGGACGGAACTCTGGTTCCAACCCACCCGCGGAAGATTGCGGAGTTCCTCAAGAGGGCAGCCATAGGCCAGCCTGCTCTCCTCCCCGCACCTCATTGGCTATCAAACTGCAAGTCCCGCCCCCTCAGCCCCTCGGTTCCAGCCGCCTTGCGACAAGTGTGTGGGAAATGGCGGGAAAGGTCGCATTTAAGCGCGCGGGGCAATTGTGGAACGTTGGCCTGCGAACCGGCGGTGGCCGAGGAGCCCTCGACGATAGCCTCAAAGCCAGCTCCTCCTCACACGCTCCACTGCTACAGAACCACTGCATGGGCGGCCATGCGCTCCTAGGCCCCAGCTCCAGGGCTCCACGAGGCGCCTCGGTCCGGAAAAGAGCGCTCGGTCGGTCGGTCGGGCAGGCGTCGCTCACACCACTGAAGCAAGCCCGGACACGGAAGCCACCTTGTTGTCCTCGGCCCAGGGCTGCAGGTTCTGCAGCGCGAAGAGCGACGAGTTGTGCAGGCAGAGCGGGTCCGGGGGCAGCGGCGGCCGCAGCGGCCGAGGCAGCGCGTCCTGCTGCAGGTGCAGAAGCAGTCGGCCCGCGCGGTGCCGCTCCGCCTCGCGCTCCTCGGCCGTCTGGCGCCTGGGCGGGCGGAGACGCGGGGTCAGCGAGGCCAGCCCCAGCCCGACCCGCGCCTCACCGCCACTTGGCCCAGCCCGGTCCTTCACCCGCCCCGCGCCTCACCGCCACTTGGTGCGCCGGTTCTGGAACCACGTCTTGACCTGCGCGTCGGTCATGCGCAGGGCCTTGGCCAGCGCCGCCCTCTCGGCCGAGGCCAGGTACTTCTGGCGCAGGAAGCGCCGCTCCAGCTCCAGCACCTGCGAGCGGGAGAAGGATGTGCGCGGCTTCTTCCGCTTTGGGGGGGTCCGATTTTGGTAGGGGTGACCTATACGGCGCGTCCCGGAGAAGGGTGAGAGCGCCGCTACAGGGAGGAAGAAAGAGCAAGGCTAGGTTTTCGGGGCGGCCCGAGGTGTCACAGAAGAGCGCGCGCGGCTGCCGAGGCCGCAGAGCTCCCGCGCCAGGTCCCTACCTCCCCAACCTCGACTCCGCACCGGTAGAGTCTAATACACAAAAAAAGGGGGCCTCGGAAATGGCCCTCCCTCTTGGGTGAGGGAGATACGTCCCCTGTAACTTCACTCTGCCCTCCCCGCCGTGCGGACAGTGAACTGCGGAGGAGAGCGCGGGCACCGACGGCAGCTACCTCCCCAGCGCCTCTCAGCAGCGGGACTAAGAGATACAAGTTGAGGGAGGACCCCCTGGGATTAGGGGCGAAGGGTACGAAAGGGACCTTGAGTTGGAGCAGAAGGATCAAAGATGAGAAAATAGGGTCAGTGTGGGGCATGATACTGGAGGGATCGGGCAACCTCACCCGTGAGCCGGTCCTTGGCATAGCGGCGGCCGCTGTCCATCCAAGGGAAGGTGAGTCCCGCTAGGCCCCCGGCGCCGCCCAAGCCCGAAGGTCCAGGAACTGCAGGTGCGCCTCCCGCAGGCGGCTGCACTGGCAAAGGACGATGCGCCGGGACGCGGATCACGCCGCCTGGGCCAACACCAGAGCTGCCTGGTACCGGGGCCAGCGAGGCCGCGGGGCCGTAGCTTGAGGCTCCATGAAATCCACCCGAGAACGCCGCACTCTCTCCATGGCCCTGGCCCGCGCGACCCGGGCCTAGGCCGCTCCCGGGGGGTTCCGGGCAGCTCAGGATCTGATCGATGCCGAAGCTGATTGGCTCGTGGTGCGGGAGGTTGTGCGAGGCCAGCACCCCCGGTTCCATGGGTCCGGGTCAAAGAGGACCTCAGGAGGTTTGGCGGTTAGAGAGGGGCCCCCAAACAGCTTTGGGAGCCCAGCAGCGGAGCGTTTAGGGCGGTGGCTTCAGGGACCTGCCGGGCTGGACGCAGAGAGGCGCCGGGACGCCCAGGACATCTTCATCCCTATGTACTGGGAGTAACCCAGCGCGTGCCGGCCTCTGCCGGGTGTCGGCGCAGGGACTCGCATCCCGGGGGAGCGCGACCGACTGGGGCCCCAGGAGCGCCCTTCGTGACTCTGAAGCGCGGATGGACGCTGGACTGCCAGGGCCTCTGCCCGAGTCCGGGGTGGAGAGGGTTGGCTGACTTGGGCTGGGGCAGTGACTGACAGATCAGTCTTGGGTGGGCAGTGGGGGCTGGGGGCAGGGCAGGGGCGGGGCCGGGCCCGTTAAAGGGGAAGAGACGCCTGTTTGCTCCAGGCGCGGGCAAGACTGGCCGGCGGGAGTGGTGAGGGTGTTGGAGGGGGGAAGGTGGCGAGTGTGTTATGAACTTGCACGGGAGGGGCCAGAGCTCGGGCCGCTGCGCGCTGAGTCAGCCGAGATGCGCAAGGACTCCATCCTCACTGGCCTCCGCCTCTGGGTTTCCTCTGCCTCACCAACTTCCTTGCAGGTGCCGCCTCCCACAGCCCCTACTCTTCGCCTCCCGATGGGTCCAGCCTGACGACTCCCGGATTCGTTGTGGGCCCCGCCTAAGTGCTCTCGAAGACCAAATTTCGTTGTGGCTTTCTGGCTGCGATGGGAAGCGGCTGGGGAACGGCGCCGGCGAGTTGGAGGCTGGGGAAGAAGACAGTTGGAGGTGTGGCGGGGTGTCCGGTGAGCTAGGGCGGGGAATCACTGGGCCAGTGATCCTGGTGCTCCTCCCGGCCTCTCCCGGAGGGGCCCCAGCTCCTCTCCGGAGCGCCAGTAATAGGCGTCCAGTGTTTCTTAGAATTTCGATTTCCTTAAATCGGTGTAAAGCGGACCCGTGGTTGTACCCTAGCCAATTTAGGTTGGTGAGGACTTGGGACTGGCTTTCTGCCCCCGACAGGGAACCAGCAGCGCGGACTCTGCGCGCCGACTCTTCGCCCAGGAAGTCTGTTCTCACACACTCCCGCCCAGCCTCCAAAGGCAGGAGGACGAAATCGCCACGGGCGACACTTGGAACCTCAATGATGTCCTCGGAGGATCCTAACCGCCACATCTCGCATAGCTCCTTCACCCCACCCAAGCCCAGGAAACTGTGCCTGGAGCGCGTCCGAGAAGGGAGGTGGGGAAAGACCAAAGCCGCTCAGCGACCTTGTGACCTCTGGCCGCGGACCCAGGAGCTGGGAGCGTGTGAACTCTGCATCCTTCCCCGGGATGGGACCCCGGGCCTGCGGGCCCCTGAGCCTTAGACCCGCCCCTGCCGCCACCCGGCCCGGTGCAGGCCGCCATAATCGGGTTAGCTGGGTCGGAATTACATTACCTTCCCCGGCCCGCCCCGGCCCCGGGGGTTGGGGGGGGAATCCTGGCGCCTCTGAGCCGGTGAGACTGGGCGCCTGGAGGCGGATGTTCTTACCATCCCTCGGAGGGTGGGCACCCGATGAGCAGCTTGGCCTGTCTCAGACACATGGTGGCCAGAGGACCCTGCCCCGCTGTGGCAGTCCTCCGCCCCTCCACCGCAGCCCACTCAGGTGCTCTGCTCCTGACCGCCTGACCCTTGGGAGCTGAAGTGCCTTCTAAGTCTAATAGCCGGTCTCCCCGGGAGCACGGATCTTCCAGTTGATTGTCCAGGATCTCCTGGGGAAAACTCTGCCCCTCCTTTCTGCCTAGCAGATGGGCTGGCAGCCTGGCGCCTAGGGCAGGGTAAGAGGTCTTTTCTCTCGAGGGAACCAGGAGTGATATTTGGGCATCTGGGCAGGAAGATGAGGAAGAGGAAGAAGGGAGTAGGCTTTCTCCCCATACAAAACCTCAGTGTTCTCAGAAGCCCCAAGGTGACGGCTGAGGTAGGGAACCATGGGGCAGGGAGGCAGTGGGCGTTAATAACATGCGACATCCTCCCCCAGTCTTGTCCACCTTCATCATCCATTTATCCAGCTCTTCCCCCACCCTGCCAACAATCTTCTGAAAGGGTTGGGGGTGGGGAGGTACTGCCACTTTGGTAGCTGTTTTTGTCTTGGTGAAGAAGACCGATAATATCACCTTCCCTAAGCCTTCACAGAACTCCAAGCATCTTTTCTCAGCAGTTAAGGGCTTGGGCTACTAGAGAGCATGAAACCTCTGCAGTTCAGGCAAACCCCGCAGGGATAGCATGGGCCGGATTCCCCTGGATGCGAACAAAGCGCCTAGGGCGACAGTGAACTAAACCACGGCTCTGAAGAGGACTGGCTGGCAGGTTAGGACTGTGTCAGTCCCTTTTCCCACTCCCTTGGGGGCTTCCCTGGCGGCTCAGCTGGTAAGAGTCTGCTTGCAATGCGGGAGATCTCGGTTAGATCCCTGGGTTGGAAAGATCCCCTGGAGAAGGGAAAGGCTACCCACTCCAGTATTCTGGCCTGGAAAATTCCATGCAAAGAGTTGGACACGACTGAGCGTCTTTCACTTTCACTTTCTATTGCCACTCCAGGGGTGGGCCTCTGAGGAGACAATGGGCACTAGTGTGTCTCCAATCATCCTGAATAAAATCCTTCTTGAATAAATCAATGCAAGTGAAAAACGTAACATCGTGCAGACCTTTATACCTCCTTATTCTACACCCTGCCTTTTGAGGTTGGCACAGATGGCTCTGCCACCCAGAGATTGCCCAACTGATCCTTAGAGGAGAATGGGCACAAACCTGGTAGCATATATATATATATATATACACATATATATATGTATATATACATATACATATATGTACATATATATATGTATATATATATACACACATACATACACACACATACATCTTCTGGGTATTTACAAAAAAAAAAGATTTCAGTGCTCTGCTTCAAGGACAAAAGGCATCCAGTTCTGTCAGCCACAGTCCTAGGAGTTTCTCTGTTTGCCTCCACCTTGCTGATTCCCTGACTCCATGAAAAGGATGGTTCCTGTTGGTTTATGTTGAGAAGAGGCTCTGGTTTCAGCATCCCCACCTTTCACACAGACTTCCTTGGATCGATCTCACCATAGCTCACATGCATGTGGCTGCCCAACTCTTCAAGTGTTCAGGGCTTCAAATCTCCAGCTTCACAGGGAGAGGCCACACTCCTAACCTGTTTTCCTGCATCTTCTCTTCCATCCTGCTGTTGGTGCAGTATTCCATGCTTGAGGTGGTCCCCACTCCTGTATCATCAGTTTCCTCATCAACTTAGTCCCTCCTACTGCCAACTGTCTTAGGTCTCTACTGTCCGGACAAAGTCTTTGCCCAACTCTTCAAGAGAAATTATGTTTCTTTTTCTCTTTTACTGCCCATATCTGTTGCCTCCATTTCCTCTGTATTTATTCTTTTAATCCACTGTAACTTGGCTTCACTACATGGACCCTATCTCAGAGATATCCAGTATCCAGTGTCTATTATCCAAGACTTCTCTGACATGTTTTACTTTGTTGACCATCAACTCTTTCTTGAAATATCCCTTCTTTTGCCTTCCATAATATTGTAGTATTCTACATCTTTGGACATTCACAGTTGCTGCTTATCGTTTTCCTCCACTGACTTTTCATCTTCCACTGAAGACTGTGAACATTCTTCAGAGCTCAGACTTCAGCTTTACCCGTATCTACATCTGCTCAGTTTTCATCGGTTCCAATAGTTCCATCTAATACATCTACCCGGAAAGCTCTGTGACCTCAGCCCCTGGTTGTGATCCCTGCTGTGTTCCACCCCACCATTCTAGTCTTATGGCCAGCTCTACCTGCTTTTGCTGTAGCCACCTTAGTCCAACAAGCTGGAGGAAATGCTTCCCCCAAGCTCCTTATTCACTTCCTCCTATTCTTTGATATGTTTCATACACAGCCCTTCCTTTCTATTTCCAGAGGTAAAACCCTAATATAGGCCGGGCTTCCCTGGTGGCTCAGTGGTAAAGAATCTGCCTGCCAGTGCAGGAGACACGGGTTCAACCTCTGGTTCAGGAAGATCCCACATGCTCTGGAGCCATGCTCTAGCTAAGCCTACATGCCACTACTATTGAGCCTGTGCTCTAGGGTTCAGGAGCCACAACTACTGAGCCTGTGCATGCCTTAGAGCCCATCTTCTGCAACAAGAGAAGCCACCACACACTGCAACTAGAGAGTAGACCCCACTCACAACTAAAGAAAAGCCTGTGCAGCAATGAAGACTCAGCACAGCAAAAATATATTCTTTAAAAAAAAAAAAGCCTAATATAGGCCATCATCACCACCACCCATATTCATGTGTTCATCCACAAAATTTGATTGAAGGTACTATGTGCTCGGTACTATGTACTAGGTACTATGTGCCTGGCACTGGAAATATAGTTGTAAACACAACAACAACATTGAACAGCTTACATTCCAGTGAGGGAGGCAGTTGAAAATGTATACCATGTACTCAGAAATGCTAAGAAGAAAAATAAAACAAGGAAGGGGGGAGAGTATAAGAGTAGGAGATGATGATTTATCTAGATTGATCACAGAAGGCCTCATGGAGCAAAGACCTGAAGGAAGAACAGGGCCATTTGGATACCTGAGCATTTCAAGTTGGGGACACGAGAGCATACACTGGTGTACCTGTGGAACAAACAGTGGGAGGTCCAGTGTGTCTGGGGAGACTGAGTGACTGTAGAGACCATGCAGTCTTGAAGGTTTTTATTCTAATTGGAAAGTGACTGGAATGTTTTAAACAGAAGAGACACCTGATTTTTAAAGTTTAAACAAATTTAAGGCAAAACTAACATACAATAAGCTGTACATAAAATGTGCAGTTTGATACACTGATACATGTATACACTTTTGAAACCATCAACACAATCTAGATAATAAGCATCTGTCAACTCAAAAATACTTTCTATGTATCCTTTTTTATTTTGATTCATGTTTTACCAGAATCACTGTGAGCTGCTATGTTTAGACTAGGCTAAAGAGGGTAAAAGTAGAAGCAAGAAAGCAGGCAAGAAGCCACTGCAGTCGCCCAGAGAAGAGATAATGGCATCTTGGAACAGGGAAGTAAGCAGTGGCTATAGCGAGTAGTTATTTTTAAAAGTCACTTATCTCGTACTCCTTGCCTCTAATTCACTCTGAAGATAAATGAATATGTTTCTTTCATAGGATAACCCCTTTCTTCAGAAAAGTTTTTTTGTCCCTATTGCCCTCACACTGAAGTCCCAACTCCATAAGGTTCTGCTTCTTCTATCATTGCTCTCAAATCTACACCTTATCGTCTTTCAGGTCCCTCTCCGTTCATTTCCCTCCGCTGTGCCTTTCTTTTCTATTTCCACCACACTTCTTTTCCCTACTCCCAATCTCCAACTGTGCCCACACAAAGACCCACTTCCTCCAGAAAGTTTTTCCCCCCGTCTCCGCTGGTATCTCTCGTTTCTTGATTCTCCAACTGTACTTGATGTTAATACTCCACGGTAATTTTATCCTTGTTTTCGTTTGATTTTGAATCCCACTTTTTAAAAAGTCCTTAGGGACGTCGGTGTACCAGGTCTAGTGCTCCTGCATCCTCCCCAGGTCCGGGACTGGACCTATGCCACCGCTGGAGATCGCTGCCTCAGGGTGTCCACATGTGGTAGTGTCCGAGCCGTCCTCCCCTCCTCCCTGGGCATCTGCTCTGCATTAGTCTGTCCCAGGCCTCCGCAGGCGCCGATGATTGAATCATCATCATTAACCAGGGCCTGCCCCCCCAACCTCGGCGGCAGGAGGGGGTGATGGGGGTGGGCACGATCACTACCAAGTCCCTAGGGTCCCTCCTTCCCCGCCACCCGCTACGAGGTTCCGCAGAGCTCCAAGAAACCTCCGCCGTGGAGGGGGACAAGGCCTGCCATCGGGATGAAGCTCCGTAATGCGGGCGCGTAGTAGGACACAAGCAGGGGACCCGGAGGGGTTTCTTTTATCAGGGACGTCGCCACAGGAGATCGACAACCCTGAGTGGTGGCGGGCTGAGACGGCCGGGCCTTTGGGGTAGAAGGCTGCAGTCTTTTGCAAGCTCTAAAAGTCAGTGCCGAGATCGTGTAGGGTCTACTATGACGATTACTACAGGAGGTCGAGGAGATAGGACCCCTTCCCACCAACCCCCTGGACGCCCTAATTACAGATTGAAGAGGGGGAGGGGCCAGTGGGGCTCAGGTGAGCACACGGGGAGAAGGGACATGGGCGGGGCCTTACAGAGGGTCAGCGAATCCGAAAAGACCTAAGCCTTCGTTGCGGGGCGACAAGTCCCGCCCCGCAGGCGGCACCGGAAGTAGCAGGCCGAGATCAGCCTTTAAGATGGCGTCTCCTCAGGGGGGCCAGATTGCGATCGCGATGAGGCTTCGGAACCAGCTCCAGTCAGTGTACAAGATGGACCCACTACGGAACGAGGTGAAGGGGCGGCAGGGTTACCACTGTGGTCGGCTAGCAGTGAGAACTGGGGCCGGCTAGAGGACGGGCGGTGGCTGGCCGGGCGCCCAGTGCGCCTGCGCAGAGACAGGGTGCCCAGTGCGCCTGCGCGATTGCGATTGGGTTGCCAAACTCCGAGCTAGGACGCCTGCGCATTGCGCCGCTGACGTTTTGTAGGCTCCCCTGGGAAAGGAAGGTCGGGCGAGTCAGCCTAGAGAGAACCCCTGCTGTGCACGGAGCCCTCTGCTGGGCGGAGGGGGAGTGTCAACCCCCTGGGAGCTAATCAGCTGACGGCGCTGGGTGCAGGGTTGGCGGTGGGCTCTGATGAGTGGCGACTTCCAGATCGTGAAGGCACACGGGTTGTGGTTGGGGAAATGATCGTTGACACAGGGTGTGTCCGCAGGAGGAAGTACGAGTAAAGATCAAAGACTTGAACGAGCATATCGTCTGCTGCCTGTGCGCAGGCTACTTCGTGGATGCCACCACCATAACCGAGTGTCTTCATACGTGTGAGTGCCCAGAACCCTGGCTGTTTCTTCCAGGCCCTACATCCCACTAAGCTGGCTGTCAGCCTCTAGGCTGCTTGTCCTAACCACCCAGGAAACCCAGCCAGCCCATAAACCCAGTTTTCAGAGGGCCTGAAAGTCTGCCTTTCTCTTCTTGCAGTCTGCAAGAGTTGTATTGTGAAGTACCTCCAAACCAGCAAGTACTGCCCCATGTGTAACATCAAGATCCATGAAACACAACCACTGCTCAACCTCAAACTGGACCGGGTCATGCAGGACATCGTGTACAAGCTAGTGCCAGGCTTGCAAGACAGTGAGTAACCAACTTGACTTTGAGGGGCCTCTGGAGCACTGTTCCTGGGTGGCAGCTTGAGGCAGCAAGGGCTTTGGTGAAGAGGTTGACAGTTTGAGGAACGAAGAATGAGAGAGGGCTTATATTTTACTTCCCATGCTCCCCTCTTCTAGGTGAAGAGAAACGAATCCGAGAATTCTACCAGTCCCGAGGCTTGGACCGGGTCACCCAGCCCAGTGGGGAAGGTATGTTGCTTAGTAGCAGGAGGGTAAGGTAAAGCCCCCAGAGCATTCCTCCTGCCCAGATTTGCTCCCTGGGGAAAATGGAGTATGGGACATGTGCCACTTTCCTTGTTACTCTTTCTCAGAGCCAGCCCTGAGCAACCTTGGCCTCCCCTTCAGCAGCTTCGACCACTCAAAAGCCCACTACTATCGCTACGATGAGCAGCTGAGCCTATGCCTGGAGCGGCTGAGGTGAAGGATAGGTCATGGGCCGTCTGAAGTGACCGTGACAGTGACCCAGAGCTGGAGCGGGAGGGGCAGGGAGAAGGCGAGCAGTTAGGGAGTGTCTTCCATTCAGGAGAGTATATCCTGGTTCTGGGCGGGGGGCAGGGGAAAAGACAGGGCTCTCCAACCTGTGTCTGTTTCCCCCCAGTTCGGGCAAAGACAAGAATAAAAGCATTCTGCAGGTAAGAGGGGCTGAGGGCAGGGCCTCTCTAAGGAGACTCGCCACTCCATGACCCTGCCCTCACACATCTTGTCTTCTTCCTGTCCCCACCAACCCCCAGAACAAATATGTCCGGTGTTCTGTTAGAGCTGAAGTTCGCCATCTCAGGAGGGTCCTGTGTCATCGCTTGATGCTAAATCCCCAGCATGTGAGTATTCCCATGTAGATTTTTTTGAGGGGGCGGAAAGGAGTAAGAAAGGAGGAACAGAGTCAACGGTAGACTTGGGTAGTTCTTGACCTGGGCAAGAGGATCGTTTCTGAAACTACGCCCCATCTCCTTCCTAGGTGCAGCTCCTCTTTGACAATGAAGTTCTCCCTGATCACATGACCATGAAGCAGATATGGCTGTCCCACTGGTTCGGCAAGGTGAGGCAGTGCCCAGGGCAGAGGTGGGCTGAGGGGGCCTCTTGGGTAAGAACATTCCCACTGACTACTTCTTCCCCTTGTTTTTTCCTTAGCCATCCCCTTTGCTTTTACAATACAGTGTGAAAGAGAAGAGGAGGTAGGGGCCAAGCCCCCACCCATCTTTCTCCCCTTCCCTCCCCAGATATTTATGTGAAATTAACTTCGGCTTTATTTTTTGAAATAAAAACTTTAAAAAAGCATCTCTCTTTTCCCTTGTTTGTTCTGCCACACACTCCTGCTTTGTCCGGTGTCATGCTTCCCTGTTGAGAAGTCTTCTTGAGTTTCATCGAATAGAAGGGCCTTTCTGTGTGGGTGTTCCTTCAGTGAATTGCCAAAGGACAGCAGCAGAGAAGCCTACATATATAAATCTCAGAAAGTGAGCTGAGTGAACCAGTTCCCTCATAGCTTCATCTTTTGGTGAAGGGAAGGGGAGCTCTCGCTGTCCTTGAATGTTATCACATGTAAAGCAGACCTGAGTGCATTAGGTGTCCTAATTCAGTAGTGGTGAGAATGGGGCTAGGGTCTGATAGTGGCCACTGCAGGACTGAAGAAGAGTGATATTTCAAAGAAAATACAAAGAATTGCACTATGGGAGGAGCCTTAAAAAAAAAAAATTGGGATGCAAAAACACATTGGTGATAGTCACAATTGGAAACCTGGCTGTCCATATGAGATTCAGGTACCTGGGCTGGGTGAAGCCAGGGCGTGGAGAGGGTAGTTGAGAGAAGGGAACTGGTTCCCAGGAAGGGCACCTTTTAGGAACAAGAGGGAAGCAACAGGGTGAGAACTCTATTGAGTAGTTTAGCAATCATTCCTTGTCGGTTTGAGCCAGACAGTAACAAAGGAGGGAACTGGAGGCCAAAGCAAGGAGCTCCTCCTATAAGAAGCTAATGAGCTGCTGTGGAATCTGGGACAAGCTGGATGGTGCAGGCAGCATAGATGTTGCTAGAACCTGATGTTAGAGCCTAAATCTGGAGCTGGCCAGAGTCCGACAGTACAAATTCAAGGGGGTCACTGAGCGTAGCTTGTGAGGGCTGAAGGTGCCTGAGCTTCCCTAGATGGAGACTGGGTGGCAGAGGACTCAGGAAAGGGGATAGTGAGAACCCCTTGAACTGGCCAAAGGAGCCAGAGACTCCGTGGGGCAAAAAACCCGAGCTCTCTCCCAGGACACAGTAGGCTGGGGCTTTGCTCCCCATGAATGAAGATTGTAGGCCAAAAGAAAGGCCTATGTGGAGAGATTGCAGACAGCAAGGCAGAGCCCTTGGTATGAGCTGGACAGGCAACAGGGCCCAGGGTGGACACTGCCCAGGCACAATTCCCTCCTGGTACCATATCCAGGATTCCTGAACCTCCCATATTTCAGGCCTCATGCTTAATTTGTATCCCCCATCCCCTGCCCCCAGCTGTCCTTGAAAGTGTAAATTCACCTCCTCCAGAAAACCTTTCCTCAATCAGAATCAGGCCTTCTTCCAGTGTCTTTGGCCTGCCTCTACACCAGCATATATCTGGAGGATTTTGATTTATTATATCTATCCCAGGGTTCCCTATTTTCTTCTCCCTGAATTTAAGCTCTGGGTACTCCCAGGCCCACTCAAGCCACAGTACTCAGATTGTTCTCAATGCATTTGTGTGTGAAATGGCATTTCCAAGGCGGGTGGGGTGGGGGAGTGGAGGTAAGGAGAATGGAAATACCCCTGGGGACTTTTTCTGGCATAGTAGTCTAGTTGGAGCTAGATGGCAGCTTGGTGTCTAGTAAGCCCAGTCAGAAGATAACTCTGGGGGAGACCTGAGAACCAAGCCTTAGGATGAGGCCTTTGATGACACATGATTTGCAGCCAAGAAGCACCAGAAGGTGCTCTGGCCTGGATCTGGGGTGGCATGGCTCCCCGCCTGACCCCCAGCTCAGCAGAGCCTTCTTTTTGTCAGCAGCTGTGGCAGCCAGCTGATGCCGACCATCTGCAGGTACCACGCAATTCTCTAGCTATGAGTCCATTACTTGCCTCCCTAGCCTGCCCGACACAGATCCTGCCCCTCGGAGTCACTTGGGTCTCTATCTGTGCCACGGTGGGCAAGTCAAGCCCACAGTGCTCTTGGACTCAGTGACCCAGAACGCACATGCCTGCTCAGAGAAGCAGCTGCAGGGCTGCCCCAGCATGCTCAGGTGCCCCGGACCTCCTGGGGTGCCAGGGTGGAAATGTCAGTCCTCACCTGCAGGGCCAAGCTTGTGCATGCCCCTGATGCCCTTTCTCACCAAGCTGTTTTCATGGTCCACGTTCACCTGGGAGAGAGGGCAGAGACTTGCTCTCCCCTTTGGCACAGAGGAAGACAGGTCCCTCTCAGGCTGGTCCTTCTCCCAGGACTTGGAGGTGAGCGAAGGTGAGGAGACAGGGAAAAGGGACTTCCCTGGAACAATGCGCCTCAAGGGGTACGCCAGTGTTGGGGTGTGGTGGGGGTGTCCGAGCATCCCACTGCTCCCCCACCCCAGCCTGCAGACCCCCCAAGTCGGCAGCAACTGCACAGAGCATTTTGTGAGGCTGTGTAAAAGACCTAAAGAATGCACAGACCCAGGGTCCTGGCAGTAGGAAACAGATTTATGTCTGAATCAGTTCACTCTGCATGAACATTTTCTGAAAGAGAAAACCATCCCAGAGGTTTGTGAGATGGAAGGACTCCCAGCCCCAGCTCTTCTGTCTGTAGTGTCTTCCCTGAAACACCCATGGCCCGATCACCCTGGTTAACAGGTTTTCTCTAAGATGGGGGGATGGTGAGGAGAAACACACCTCTTGGGGCTGTCCTTCTCGGTCATCCACCACCCCTAGGAGGTTATTGTGAGGATCCCCGTCCCCCATCCCTCATGCTATTACACTCACAGAACTCAGAGAAACGTGTGTGGTGGGAAATCCAGGGGAGCAAAGGCCATTTATTGAGCTGATATGGATGTCAAGAAGAGGGGGTACATCTGGAGTAGGCCTGGGTAGAGGCATCTGCAAGATGAGAGGCTGAAGTGGACAAAGGCAAGTCAGAGATGCAGTGTCAGGGAATGAGAAATAAGATGGGGGTGATGGGGAAAGGGAATTCTGGAAGAGGGTGGTGGGTGTGTGTGAGAAGGCATCCTTAAGTGGGAATTGAGGTGTCTTCTGAAGGGCAAGTGAGAAAGAGGGGATCTCTACCAAGTGAGGGAGCAGAGGACCCCCAAATGTCCTCTGAAGGGACAATGGGGAGAATCCATCAAAGAAGGGGAGTGGCAGGCAGGACTGTACGCTCAAGCCCTTCTGAGGAGGACCCAAGGCAGAGAGGCTTGGACCATGGGGGTGGGAGGGACGGTGGGAGAGGGGCACCAGAGCGCAGCAGCACCGTTGGGCCTGGGGGAGCCCAGGAGACAGCTAGACACCCCCCTCCTCAACCCAGGTTTAATCTCTTAATCTCCCTCATTAATCATTCCCCCTCCTCCTACACCCCTCAGAGGATCTGGTTTCTCCCCAGCTCAGGTTCCAGGGGCTTGGCTGGGAAAAGCCCCCTCCTGCGGCCCCACAATCGTCTGGACAAATCCCTGGCTTCTGGGATGACCTTAGCTGGGCTCTGCTGTCAGCAACCTCTTCCCTTAACTAGGCTCTCCTTCCCTCTCCTCCCCCAAACCTACATCTGGGGACTGCCCAAGCCCACTGTCCAACCCCATCTGTAAGCCTGGCTGCAAGGGGGAGAAGGCTGAGAGACAAGCAGAGGAAAGCGAGGGCCCTTCAGAAGCGCTCCACAAGCACACACAAGGGTAACTACGAGCAGAAGAGATGACATAAAAGCTACATAGAAGATGTATGAGTGAAGCTCAGAGTGTCTTTTTGGTGGCAGGCCTGGGACATAAGCTAGGCAGTGCCTGCAGCCTCCCTAGAAAGACCCTTCATTGCAGACTAAGCGAAACCACCAGCATGGTTCACAGGGCTGAGGCCTCCCGCCTCTCTGCCACCTGCCACCATTCATAATCAGTTAACAAGGTCCTGAGGCATCTCAGCTTTCCACTGTCTGATCTCTGACCCAACAGTGGGCCCCCTGAGCTGATTTTGTTGCTTAGGCTGCCATGAAGGTACTATGTGAGTATCTGGGTGTGTCTTAGGGGATGGGGAGTGTCATTGGAGGGAGTCCTTTATCAAGAAGACCCTGTGTTTCTCCACCGTTGTTGGATGTGGACTCGGTCAGTGCCTCAGGTTACATGAGGTTCCCTGAGCCCCATTATCAAAGTGCCTTCCTGTCCGTGTCAAGGAGTCTTTATCCAGGTGTCTTGGCTCTCCCAAGCTCTGCTTGGTGCACCCCATTTCAGGCTCCACTTGCCCCAGAGTAGACAGGTGGACTCAGAGGATCGCTGCACAAATGGTGGGAGGAAGTCTACAGAGAAGGAGGGACTTCATGGCACTGTTTGAAGAAAACAGAAGAAAACCCCGAGTTCCCTAGGACGGTGAGCTACTCAGGAGTGGTGGGGCTTCTCGCCTCTGTGATGTGACCTGTGAACAAAACCCTTGCCCTGTTGAACCTCCACTGGTGAGCCATGCTGTCCCAGAGCTGCCTTCTTCCTACAGCGGGAGGATGTGGTGTGAGATCAGGACTAGAACAGGTGTGGGAGAGAAGAGAGACTGGACACAGACAAAATGGAGAAGAGTATCCCAGGTCTTAGAATTTGCAGTTGGGTTTGTAGGGGTTCTGTCTCCGGATCTGGTTGGGTAGATGAAGTCTGCACTTGAGGTTACTCTCCTACGGCCAGTGGCCTTGATGCTCCCGGGCAGTGAGTGGTTCCCACCGTTGCAGATGCTGGGTGGTTTCTGGGCCTCTCCAGGCTGAAGGACCCATACTCCATCCATAGGAGCTTCATAGGAAGACAAAGACAGACAGATCGACTGATAGATGGAAAGACTCATCAGGAGGCCCTCAGTGGAGGCCAGTTTGCTGTGTTCTCTTTGCTGAGGTCCAGGTCTCCGGCCGGTTCTCCGTGTGTTTAGGCTTCCTCAGGGCCTCTGAGCCACGGCAGGACGACCTTGGATTCGGCCAGAGAGCCGGCAGAATCCACTCACCTGCGCTTGCTTCCCCGTGGCACCCCCAGAATCCCCGGTTACAG